AAAAGGTTTTATAAAACCCAGCTGAAGGCCTAGGACTGGGGCGACGGCACGCGTGCCCACAGAGAGGGCTCTGCGTGCCACCTGTGGCACGTGTGCCACAGGTTCGCCACCATGGACCTATACCATCTCAGACAAGTGACTGTCTAGCCTCTTCTTAAAAATCTCCAGGGATGGAGCGCCCACGATTTCTGAAGGCAACTTCTGTTCCACTGGTTAATCGTCCTCACTGTTAGGAAGTTTCTCCTTAATTCCAGGTTGCTTCTCTCTTTGGTCAGTTTCCAACCATTGTTTCTTGTCTTGCCCTCTAGTGCTTTGGAGAATAGTTTGACCCCTTCTTCTTTGTGGCAGCCCCTCAAATACTGGAATACTGCTATCATGTCACCCCTATTTCTTCTTTTCTTTAGACTAGCCAAACCCAAGTCCTGCAGCCGTTCTTCATGTTTTAGTCTCCAGGCCTTTGATCATTTTAATTGCTGTTCTCTGAACTTAAGCTTCCTTTTTAAAAAGTAGTTAAAAAAAAAGACAGATTTTAGGAAAGACTCTTGACTGAGTCTTGTATTGATTCTATTGACACTTGGAGCAAGAGGCCACATCCCATTCGGCATTATTGCATTATGCCTTGCTAATATTCTGCATGTCACCCGTCACGCTTCCCATCTGTGGCCCTACATCCTCCTTGAATGACAGTTAGGGCCTCTTGACTTTGGCTTAATCTTTGGAGATGCAATCATCAATCCATGGCGAAAGATATGTGGTGGGTTAATTCAGAGAAGAGTTAGCTGTTGCTTCTAATCCGTTTGAAGAGCACAGACCTCACTGAGATCATTGCAAGCATCAAGAAACGCTCACTGCCTACTTTATTCTGGTGAGGTCACAGGGTTAGGTGATCTGAAGTGGACCAATTGTTTCTCTTCTGCTGGTGTTAACTGCTCTGGTCATGCTGGCTAGTGATTAGAGGAGGACATATCTAGAAGGCATCAAATTAGGGAAGACGAATTTAAAGAGAGGACCGAGGCAGTGAAAACCTAGATATGCTGTATATTAAAGTTCTTAAGCAGCAGCATATTGCCTCAAGAGAAAGGCTGACTCAGATGCTGTCTTTGCATGTTGGTCTTGCATCCACTCAGTTGAGGGGGGGGGGGGAAATCCATCTCTCCAGTGGGGATTTGAGGAGGGGTGAAGATGGTGGATTAGCTTGGCCCACCATCTGTCATTAGGCCAATAATCACTGCCTGAAGCCAATCCAATTGTCATTGAGGTATTTAAAGAATAAGGCCATTCTTTGCCCCTCCAAAATCATTTAATTAACCCCATTAAGCAGAGAGACTTAAAGTGAAGTCATCTGACAAGGGGGGGGGGGGAATGCAAGCAGTGCAATGGGAAAGTCAAAAGACTGGACTGCACACAGCATCTCTCTCTCTCTCCTTCTTCTCCATGTGCCCTTTGAGTAGAAGAAATAAAGGACATTTTTCTCCAAGGGTGGCTGCATCAAGATCTGCTCAAGCTTACTATCCAACCCCAGTTGAAGATTGCCACTAACATCTTAGGGGGATCAAGCTTCTAATAGTAGCCACAATGTGTCTTCACATAGGATAATGCCCTCAGTGCCCTCTATCTGATCAATGTAGTACCTGGATCCGGTTTCATAGGTAATTAGAATTCCCAGAGAGCCAGGAGGTTTTTTTTCCCCCTTGTTCTGCAACAGGCCTTGGCTTTCAGTATTTTTCAATGAGGTGTCCTACTTTCCACGGTTGGATGAGGACAGGGACTATCAACTTGGCTTCCAAGACCATTGGCAGCCAGAGACAAAGCTCTTGTGATGCCTTCAACGTGTGGACTTAATTTCATGCAGTCCCAGGCATGACCAAATTTCCGAAGGTTGAAGGGCAACCTTTCTGCAGTTCTCTTTTGATACCTAGCTGAGCCTAGTATGATGTCAATAGTCTGTTGTAGTTGTGAGAAAGTAAAGGATTTTTACCGGTAGACGGTAACGTGCAGAAGATCCCCAAAACATACCCCAGGTAGGACAACTTCAACCCATCCGATGTTGACGAACCATGGATGGGCCTTTTGATTTTTTATGCTTGGTCATGCTGATGAGAATGACGAGAGTTGGAATTCAGCCAGGCTTGCTGAAAATCCAGAAGGTAGAAACTGCTGGATTTGAGAAAGTTGTAAGTAGAACACAGCTAAAATGCAGCCGCTTCTGTCCCTGTTTTGTCTCGTGATCAACTGAATCTATTTGCTTGACTGCCTCAACATACTAAAACAGCAAAGGATGAGTTTCAAGCTGCTTAAGTAGGTCAAGGGAGGATTTTTACTTTTATCTGCATTTATTAATTTTGCAGGTCATAAGACTTCCATGTTCCTTGTGGAACATGTCCACAATTGTGGTCCAGAGGCTATTCGCTTAGAATGAGTTCCTTGGAAAATAGGCTTTCAAATTGTTGTAGAAGGAACTACTTGTGTAGTAGAAGGAAATATAGTGGAAGAGAATAATTTCTCTTCCACTGAAAACTTCAGTCTTACAAGTGCTTAAGTGCTTTGGATGCTCACCTTCATGATGTGGACTTTGATTATATCAACCAGTTATCCTCACCCAATTGTCTTGCAACTGTGGGACATGTTAACTTGAAATTCTGTGGCCCTGAATGTATCTGGATTCTAGACAGCATCAGGCTGAATGCGTGATACCATAAAGCACAAAATACTTCTAAAAATTTAGATATCTTCAGGCAACAATTACAACTGAAAGCAATTGTCCACAGTGGAATACAAAGAACGTTTAGTCATGGGACTTCCCTCTGCAAGATGAAAGGATTGAGTGGGTCCAGAAAGAGGATGGATTTTTTCATCCATCCCCTTCTTCTTGGACCACCATCAGTATGGTTTGCTAAAATTTACAGACTGTAGATATTCCATTGACTTACTGGCTTTGAAAGAGTAAGTCAAAAGGTCCCGGTAGGAATACCAATAATGGTGTGCAGCTCCCTCTGCTGTTTTAATTGGGAATTGCCATAATTATTGCACCGTGCATGCTTGGGATGCCCCAAAACAAATTTTAAAAGGCCAACGTTGCTTTTCCAAAGCGTGCAGGCCAATTTCCCAAGTGGACACCATCAGCTGATTGTCCGATCTACTGAGGATCTCCTTTTAATGGTGTCCTGCAAATTGACCAAGTTCCCTTCCTTCCATCAGTAGCAGAAAAGGATTTTTGAAAGAACATTTAGAACAGTGGTGGCGAACCTATGGCACGGGTGCCAGAGGCGGCACTCAGAGCCCTCTCTGTGGGCACGCGTGCCGTCGTCCCAGTCCTAGGCCTTCAGCTGGGTTTTATAAAACCTTTTCGCTTTAGGCCTCCACTGCCATGTGCAAAAAAAAAAAAAAAAAGGTTCAATCAGTCAATTTCAACTTCTTGCAGAAAAAAAAGATCTTGCAAAGTTGGAATTGATTGATTGAACTTTTTAGCCCCACCCAGTCTGCCGTTACCACTGCAGCCATGCTCACCCAATGGGCCACACCCACCCAGCACTCGACGATGCATAAGTGGGTTTTGGGTTGCAATTTGGGCACTTGGTCTATAAAAGGTTCGCCATCACTGATTTAGAGTAATAGCAAAACCGGTTCTGCATTTCTGGGGTGGGAATGAATGACGGGACTTTCCAGAGACGGGATCCATCAAACAAAGCAAATGTTTGAGAAAGGAGGGCCATTTTCCTTGAAAACCCCTTAGATTATCCTCCACGCCTGGCATGTAAGCTTCTCCTTTCCCTCCAAAAACAGGACCAGCTCAGCTCTCGCCTGTTGCCCCCAAAGAGCTTCGCAGAGAGCACCAGCCCATCGCTTTATGCCCGGAAGATAGCAATAGCAACAGCGCTTAGACTTATATACCGCTTCACAGAGCTTTCCAGCCCTCTCTAAATGGTTTACAGGGTCAGCCTCTCGCCCCCAACAATCTGGGTCCTCATTTGACCGACCTTGGAATGTTGGTAGAAATTCTAGCCCACTGAATAACACTAAACAGCAAGTTGAAATTAGACAGAGATTTATTGGATATAACGGTTTGCAAAGCGTGGTGGACTCCAAATAAATATTTGAGCCACACCTAGTCACAACAAAGACACACATTATATACTTTCTATCCCGACGCCTTGGCCCCCTCCTCTGAGGTTACAATCTTATCAGAGCCGCCTAAACAAAATACATTATCCCTGCCCCTTACTATTTTGCTTCACCTATTCCCTTATATGTACTTTATCATGAAATCCTATAGCTCAGTGTGGAAATCCTATAGCCTACGTGCAGAACCCCTAGAAGGTACGTGTACATGTAGAAATTGTGTAGAAATCTTGCAGTCTACGTGTAGAAATTTTGTGTAGAAATCTTACTCTCTGCGTGTAGAAATTTTACAGAGTACGTGTCACTTAACTTTACTTCTTATTCTAAAATTTTATTCCTGACAGGAAGGATTCGAAGGCTGAGCCCACCTTGAGCCGGTCAGGCTCAAACTGCTGGCAGTGGGCAGAGTTGGCCTGCAACACTGCCTTCTAACCAGAGTTGGCCTGCAATACTGCCCATCGTGGCTTGCCGAATAAGCCACCCTGGGCCTTGGAAGTGGCCAGACTGCCACCAACACCCCCCCCCGCAACCCGGTTTGCAGCCCTCAAGGCTGAGCCCTGCCCTCTTTGTAAACGGCGAGCAACCCTCCCGGGGGGGGGGAGGCAGCGCTTCTCCTCCTCCCGCGCTACTCCAGGGCGGGCTTCACCGGTTGGATGGGCGTCCTAGGCAGCCGCAGGAGAGCCCTTCCCGCCGGCCGGCCCCTTTAAGGGGCGGGGAGGCGCTTCCCAGCCCCGGCTGCAGCAGCCGCTCCCCCGCGCCGCTGACATCAGCCGCATCCAGAGCGGCTGCCGGGGCGCGCCGCGTCCGTCCCCCCCCCCTGGAAGCCAGGCCAGGCCAGGCCAGGCCGGGCCAGCCCCGGCGTCCCTCCTCCGCCCGCAGCCATGTCCGCCGGCCAAGCCTACAACGAGGAGAAGGGCGGCTCTTCCAGCCTGGGGGAGCCGGAGTACGGGCACGATCCGGCCAGCGGGGGGATCTTCTCCTCGGATTACAAAAGGTGCGGCTCTCCCGGGGTGGGGGGGGGAGGAGGAGGAGGGAGGCGGGAGCGCAGCCTCGATCCCGTTCCGGAGAACGGGGGGGGGGGCGCCAGGTTGCAAACCCAGGCCTCCCCCGGGGGGGGGAATGGAGCTGCTTTGGGGCTGCTTGCCTCCCGCCCCCCCTCCCTCCACTCCCCCTTCCCGGCTAAGGGCTCCTTGCTTTGCAAAAGGATGGCCAGGATTTTTCGCTGCCCCCCCCCCGCCCCATCTGGGGAATGACGCCAGGAGCCTCCGAGCCAATCTGGGCCAGGAAAGTGCCGCCCCCCCCCCCGCCGCCGCTGCTAAAAAAATCCCCGCTAAAAGGGGAACGGCTATGGGGCGGGGGGGGGATCTTGTGTGATTATGCCTTTCCTGGGTGGAACGTCCTTGGCTGGTCTCCAAGAGGCCGAGCAGGTCGGACCGTGTTAGTGCTGGGATGGGAGACCACCAGGAGTCTCTAGGATTGGGTTGGGAAGGGAAGAAAACCATTTTAGAATTGAGGCGGGGTAAAACACCTGTCCCAAAGGCGCAAGGTTGGCTTTCTATGACCTGCAGCTTCCCCTTGTCGATTCAAAAGATGTGATCTTTTTTTATGATTAATATATGCTTGATTTGATTCTTATACTGGGTAGTTGGAGATTCTGGGCAGAAGTTTAATAAATCAATATATATAGATATAGATAGATGATAGATAGATATAGATATAGATATAGATATAGATATAGATCTTCTTCCCTCCTTTCACCTGAAAAGCATCTTTACTTTTTCAATCTTGTCCTTTTTTTCCTCAGTCAGGAACTTGCATTTTCCATCCATTCTGAGCATGATGGTTGCTTGTTGCATTTTTATTTCCCTTTCTCCAAATTGTTGGGGGCAATTCCTGGAGTGCCCTACCTCTGCCCCCTGCCCCAGTATTATCCCCAGTCATCCCGAAGGATGATGGATGGGGAAGAGTAAGAAAAACCAGCCCCATATTTCTGAATCAGATATTTGGCTAATTCTTGGTGTGAGACTAAAATCTCCACCTTGCCATTGGATTGTGCTGTTTCTTTGCTGGTGGGGATTCTGGGCGGTGTAGTCCTAGTGCATTTGCAAGGCCCCAGGTTGAGGGAGGCTGATCCACTGCTTTGGGAGAGAGAAGGAGAGTTGCAGTTCCGTGTTGGATGTAATGGATAATTCCACAAGAGCTTTTGGCTGGTATTTGGGCCTCCTCCGGAGAAGCATAATTTTTGTTCTGATTCTGCATCGCAGCTTGGCATTTATGAAATGGAGTCCTCATATTAGTATCTGCACTGGTTGTTTCTCTTTTTTTTTGAGCAAAAGCTGAGAAGTTTTCTGTATAGGATACTGATGGGAGAACAGCCTTTCTATGCACGTAACTTCTCCTAGCATGGCTCAAAGCAGTTTTAGCAGTGAAAAAAATAACCTTACCTTTTACAACTCTCTGGATCAAAGTATCCTGGAATGGGAAAAAAAATCACAAAACTCTATAATCTTCTGGCTGGTTGGGCAGATTGTGTAAATCAGTGTAGTTTTGACCTCCTGTAATATATGAAGACATACTAAGACTTAAACGATGCTTTATAACTTAGCATGTTGCAAGAATCCAGTCTGTGTTGGCTTGTTCAGTGAACCATGCCTTAGTCCAGAGGTCTTCAAACTTGGCCCTTTTATGACTTGTGGACTTCAACTCCCAGAATTCCTCAGCCAGGCACGCTGGCTGAGGAATTCTGGGAGTTGAAGTTCACAAGTCATAAAAGGGCCAAGTTTGAAGACCCCTGCCTTAGTCCCATGTGGGGACTCAGCCTGTATGCCACATCTGGATGATTTGGCATGCCATGAAGAGAATTAAGGCTCGGTAGGACAGGGAAAACCTGGCAGAATGAACAGGAAGGCAGAGCCATGTCTGTGTCAGTAGAGACAGCCTGTGAGAACAGACACATTTTCCAGGACATGTAAATGAGCTGTGTGACCCTGGATACAGGATTGGTTCCCCGGTACCCAATTCATCCTCTTTGGTGCCCAATTCAGCCTAATATTGGGGTGATATTTGGATGATGGCAGGCTATTTCTACCATCCTTAAAAATCTAAATGTTTCTTCTGAGATGAAGAAAACATCTTAAAATTTTGGGATGGATGGAAAGATGGACGGTTGAACGCATGGAAGGATGGATGCATGGATGGATGCATGGAATGAAATGAAGACCAAATTAGTATCGGATCAGATTATCCCTGTACCCCAGCCCAGTATTGTTTGCCTGTTGAAAGCCGCTCCTTAAAGGTTTCATGCAGAAATGAGCTTTTCCCATTATGCGCTCTCTGATGTTTTTCTTCCTTTGCTAGGGTTCCCCCGCACGAGAAACAAGATTTCTTCCATGAATTGGTTAGCAATTACTCCTGTGTGTTGGAATGCTTTGTTTGTTTTTAAACCCCTAAGGACTAGAAACGTGTGAGCATTTTTAAATGAAAGTGGGGAGTTTCTAAGAGTACTGAATTTCTTTGCCCATATAAACTAACTTTGTATTTTTCTGGTAGGAAACACCTTCTGTGTTAAAGACAGGAAAAGTGTTGTTATAATGTTGAGGCATGCGGCATATATTGTTACGTTGTCAATGTGCATAGGGGCCTGCTTGTTTGTGCAATTACCAGCATAGTGCCTGGTTGTGTTCTTCAGTGAAAAACTAGGTGAGTTTTGCATTTGCCAATTGTGTTGATTTTTCTGCTTCTGATCACCGGCGTCACCAAAAGAGACATGCTGCCACCTGTATGTGTTTGGGGAGTGGGGAGGGCTGGCAGGTTAAAATCCAGGGTCCAGGATGAGAAAGACTCAACTCTTTAGGAGCAAGACTATAAATGCAGTTTTGCCACTTCTGTGTGGCCTTTGAGAGCTAAGCTAGTACAATGGACAGCTCACTGGCTCCTTTGATGAATGAATGAACTAATGAGTCTTCCCTTTCTCTCCGCTTCCGTCCCTTGGTACAAGAAGGAAGGAATTCATTATTGTGATGACTTCTGATCTCTCTTTCGGGGAGGGGGCATCTGCAGACCCTTTCTTGTTTGTGTTCTTTAGCTGAAAAGCCTTCCGCCAAACTCATCTCGGTCCCTTTTGGGGCGCCACCCAAAACTCCGGATCTGTCCATGGTGCTGAACCATTGATATGTATCATTTTATTTTGCTGCAGGCTAAAAAAAACCCAGCCAGGCAGGCAGTTTCTTGCCGTTTTGATACAAGAAAAAAAAACACATGAGAACAGAAGGTTCTGCCTGAAAGGAAGCCTGAGGTAGCTTAAAAAGTAAGACAATAAAAGGCAGTGTAGAAAAAGAAATAGAAATTCCAGGCAACACAGTGTGATAGTCCTTTGGCTGCAGTTGGTTGATTATGGCTTCTTGATTAGAGTTGGTTACCTTCAGGGAACAAGTCACAAAGAAGCAAGCCATGTTATGGGTTATAGAGTTGTGTGAATAGGGCCTTTGCGTCATTGTTCAGTAATATGGTCCCTTCCTTCAAACTGCTAATTGCAGCTTGGGCCCCTGAAAGATTAACTGTGGGAAAGATAAGAGAAGTGCCTAGAAGTTGGAAAGTTGATGGGGAATAAATTGAGGTCTACTACTTGGAGTTGCTGGCAAAGAACAACAATCCTCTTTACACGTCAGACCAGATGAGGAAACTGGCTTCATAAGAAGAGTCAAATTAAACTTTATTGAGAAAGGCTTTAACTGTGTTTCTCAGCTTTGGCAGCTTTAAGGTTCAAGACTTCCAACCAATCGTTTAGTGCAGGGGTAGGCAACCTTGGCTCTTTTATGATTCGTGGACTTCAACTCCCAGAATTCCTGAGCCAGCCATGCTGAGGGGAAAGGGAGAGGTTTCCATGCTGAGCCATGCTGGCTCAGGAATTCTGGGAGTTGAAGTCCACGAGTCATAAAAGAGCCAAGGTTTGCCTACCCCTGGTTTAGTGACTATTCAAAGCTACAACAGCACTGAGAAAAGTGATTTACAACTGGCCCTCCCATTTTATGACTGTTGTGGCATCCCCACAGCCATGTGGTCAAAATCCAGATGCTTGGCTGAGGGTTGCAGTGTCCTGGGGTCATAGGATTGCCATTTGCAACCCTCCCAGCCGGATTCCTGCAAGCAAAGTCAATTGGGGGAGGGGGGAGCCAGATTTGCTTAACAACCTTGGCAAACAAGATTGTAAAATGAGGCACAAGTCACAACATCTGCTTTGCTTAGCACAAGGCAATTCTGGACCCAATTCTAGCCATACCGTTTCCTGCTCTGGACTTAAGGCAGTGGTGGCAAACCTATGGCACGGGTGCCAGAGGGGGCACTCGGAGCCCTCTCTGTGGGCACACGTGCCATTGCCCTAGCCTCACCTCCCCCCACGACCCCCTCCTCACCAGCAGCCCCCCTGGAGGAGAGTCATCCCTGAGCGTGGCCCACGCGGAACAGCGCAGCCAAGGACATGGCAGCCAGGCAGCATAGAGAAGACTGCCCTCACACCCCATCGCGCACAGTTGATGCTGCGGGGCGCGGGCAGAGGGCGTGACCGCCATGTCACTGCTGGGTGATCTGCGACGGGCCCTGAAGGCAGTGAGTGGCCCTGTGGGCAGGCGTAGTGGGGGTGGAGCAGGGGTGGGACCAGGTTTTGGGCACTCAGTCTCTAAAAGGTTCACCATCACTGCCCTAGGCCAGTGATGGCGAACCTATGGCACGGGTGCCAGAGGCGGCACCCAGAGCCCTCTCTGTGGGCACGCACACCGTCGCCCCAGTCCTAGGCCTTCAGCTGGGTTTTATAAAACCTTTTCGCTTTAGGCCTCCACCGCCGTGTGCAAAAAAAAAAAAGGTTCAATCGATCAGTCAATTTCAGCTTCTCGCGGGAAAAGAAATCTTGCAAAGTTGGAATTGATTGATTGAAATTTTTAGTCCCGCCCAGTCTGCTGTTACCACCGCAGCCGCGCCCACCCAATGGGCTACGCCCACCCAATGGGCCACACCCAGCCAATGGGCCACACCCACCCGGCACCCGACGATGCCTAAGTGGGTTTTGGGTTGCAGTTTGGGCACTCGGTCTCTAAAAGGTTCGCCATCACTGCCCTAGGCCCTCTCCACCCCCACCCCCACCCACCCCCCATGCCAAGAATTCGCTTCTCCCGGTCCGCCACCCAGCAGCGCCCCCGGGCCTTCTTCCCCGTCCGCAGAAGCAGCACCTGGGCACGGGCTGCGGACGGAGCGGGGCAGCTCCTCCCTGGGCCGCCAGGTGGCGCTGCGCCCAAAGCCTTGGCGTCTGGTTTCTGGGGAGGGGGGGGAGCAGCCGTCGGGCGGGGCGGCGCGCGGAGTGGCTGGCGGCTCCCAGAAGCCCCGCCCGCGCCCGGGCCAGCCAGCCAGCGAGGCGGCGGAGCTGCTAACGTGGCTGGGCGGCGGAGCCGGCGAACTCCCGCGGCTGCAGCCGTCTGGGCGTCTGGCTGGGCAGCTGCTCCGGCCAGCCCCGCCATGCAGAAGCTGCTGCAGCAACTGCCCGTCGGCGCAGCCCACCTGGTCAAGGCGCCCCCGGCCGGCGCGGAGGAGGCCAAGAGCCCCGTGCTGGTGCCCGACGGAGCGCCGCAGAGCTGGTACCGCACGCTGGAAGGCGACGAGCTGAGGCTGCTGAAGGGGCCCCAGCCGGAGGCCGCCCCCGCCGGGCAGCAGCCGCAGCCACAGCCGGAGCGCAGCTTGGAAGGCAGCGTGGCGCAACCGCTCCGGTACGGCTTGCGGGGGGGGGCAGGGAGGGGCTTGGCTCAGGGGACCCCCTCCCCCGACTCTGCCTCCCCTGCCCCCCTTCCCTCCTGCCAATCCTCTGTGTGTCCGTGAGCTGAGTTCTGAGTTGCGTTCTTACGACAAGGTAGTCCCGGGTCTGCCCAGCCACTTTCGTGTCAGGCTTCAAAACTTGTGAGAACTTGAGCTGGTGCTCCCACTTAACCTTGGAGGCTGGTGTGTGTGTGTGTGCAAGCAGGATTCCTCCGGACAGTGAACCTGGGTTCAGCTGGCCCCGGCTGGTTAGGGTGTTTTGTGAAACCGGTCTTTTGGGAGAGATTCGGGGTTGGGGGGTGAGAATGGAAGAAAAGGGTTGAGTTGACTCTCTGTGGGTCGGGCAAAGGTTGGGTTCACACACAACTCTCTTCGCCTGTGGAAGACCTAGCCAGCTGCAGGCTAAGCTGAGTTCGCGTTGACCTGAGTTAGTGGGATCACGGCTTTGTGCAAATGGAGTTTGCAGCTCTTGTTGCGTTGCCGAAATCTCGAAAACCGATTAATTCAGTCGGTGGGAAAATAGCTGCTGACGTTATAACACCCAAGCTGATAGTGTTTGGTGAATCTTAAATTGTGTTCATTCAGCTTAACCCCTTATGCATAAGGGAAGAAATGCAAAATGCGCCCTGTTGGGTTTGTATTTTAAGGTAGGATAATTTGGTAAGACGAGTGATTCCTTAGATCGGATAATCCAGAGTATTGTTGCAATTCCAGGGCCCTTTACTGAAGCCCCCACTGAATCAATTAAAGGCAGAGAGAGGTTGCTTTACTTTTCTTCCTTCATCAGTTGGGGTTGCCCCTGTAATCAATCATGGCTTCTTTAATCATGGTCTCTTTCTGTCATAACACACCATATGAACTCGGCCATTGTGGTTTATAAAATAAGGTCCAGGTCTTAGTCACTAGAGTCGTCAGTGTTGCAGACATTTTGTATGCGTTCATGCGAGGGCAATTGTGTCCAGTTATTCCAAGTTGATTAATCATATCAAGAAAAAGAAAATTGATTTGTAATTGGTTGCATTTTGAGGTTGCATTTTCAGAGCAGGAAAGTCTCTTCCAAGTTCCAGTTCTATAGTATTATTTCGCTCTCCTCCCCTTTGCTGCCTGTTGAATTACTACTCTCTTTCAACTGCTTTACACCATCTTATATTGGGGTCTATGGGCAGCAGCTCCATCGCAACAATGTCTGTTGAGTGCCTTCAGACCTGCAAAGGATTCCTTGACTGGCTGGGACGTTACTTTCAGCTTGAAGCAAGATGTTGTGAGCAACATGGTTTAAGTGTGGCTTATTGGATCAGCTCTGGTTGGCTGGATTTGCCAGTTCTGCTGAGCTGTGAATAAGCCAGGTTCCTGCAACCTGCTCAGTCACAGTGAAACAAGCCATTTTCTTTGTGCTACCTTTCTCAGTGTCTCTGCCTTCTCACTTTCCTGCTGCTCCGGATGAATTCACCAAGGGATAAATATTTCACAGCCTTCTTTGGGATTGGATTGCTTGGGTATATAAACAAGTCCCTGAGATCAAATTCCTTCAACAAGGCCCTGGGATCCAATTCCTCTCCAGATGGCGTGACCGATAAGCTACCTTCTACAGGTAGTCCTCCACATGCAACAATAATTAAGCCTGATATTTTGATCATAAGCCGTGATGGTCATTAAGCATGTCACATGTGACCGCATCCAATTTTATGACCTATTTTGCAGTGGTCATTAACACTGCGATTATTAAGGGAACCCATTGTTCGCTGTGGGGTGTTATTTGCTGGGAAACCGGAAGTAAAGGACAATTTCTGGCAAAAACATTGTAAATTGTGGTCATGGGGTTGCAAAATGCTGCAAATGGCTGTAAATCTGGGCTAGAATATGATCACATCACCATGAGCCAGGTTTGGATCATAAGTAGCTTTTGGGAGGGGGGTGTCCAAAGTAACTTCAAATGGTCATTACTGACCATAAGCCAAGGACTGTCTGTATTCCTCCATCTTGCCTCTGCCATGTTTAGGAGTCTCCTGGCAAGCGCAGATGGAAGAAACAATTGTTAGGTTCACACAATGCAATAAGCCTCTGTCTTGGTGGTTGGGGATTGAAGAAGGTATATGAATCCAGCCATCATATTTTGTGAGTCACAGCTTGTATGGTAGCTCAGCATTCTGGCCTCTTGACCAAAGCATGGCGTTGCAACATTGAATCCTGGCCATTGTTGAGTTCATGAGTGAACTCAGCAATGGTTGGTTGACTAAACTGTGATTAGTTGGATTCATGTAACTCTCAGCTAAAATCTGAGCAAACCCCATGGTGGCTTATACACCCAGTTGAATAAACCCAATAGAAAGGTTTGATTTTTTTTTGACGGGAAGAAAAGAATTCTGTTTTGGACAGAATATTCATAGAGTTAGCCTGTGTTATTTTCATTAAGCCTAAATATATGTTGGCATGTTGTGAGTATCTTTCTTTTTCATCCATCAAAAAAAAGATCTTTCATCTTGGGAAAGTGGACAGCACTTGACCAGTTGTTTTGAGCAGTGTTTGTCAACCTTTCCAACTTTAAGCTGTGTCGGCTTCAATTCCCAGAATTCCCCCAGCCAGATGCTGAAAATGGTGGAGGTTGAAAAATGTTGGCTTCCTTTTTCCAGGTTTTCTTTAGTTTAGAATTGGGAACTTAATCTCTTCTCCTCCTTCCCTTCCATCTGCCTTTCCTTTCTCTGGTTCCCTCCACTGAGTTGGACATAGCTCCCAGCTCAACCGAGCTGAGAATTCAGCCCCTGAAGGCTACTATGTTCATCAGATGCTGGGTCAAATACACTAGGACAGTGGTGGCGAACCTATGGCACGGGTGCCAGAGGCGGCACGCAGAGACCTCTCTGTGGGCACGCGCGCCGTCGCCCCAATCCTAAACCTTCAGCTGGGTTTTATAAAACATTTTCGCTTTAGGCCTCCACCGCCGTGTACAAAAAAAAAAAAGGTTCAATCAATCAGTCAATTTCAATTTCTCGCGGGAAAAAAAGATCTTGCAAAGTTGGAATTGATTGATTGAACTTTTTAGTCCCATCCAGTCTGCTGTTACCACCGCAGCCACGCCCACCCAATGGATCACACCCACCCGGCACCCGACGATGCATAAGTGGGTTTTGGGTTGCAGTTTGGGCACTCGGTCTTTAAAAGGTTCGCCATCACTGCACTAGGGCTTCCCTGCTTTGACTTCCTGCAACAGTCTCTGTGTTTCTTTGCAGACATGATGATCTGAAGGAGATGCTGGACAGCAACAAGGATTCCTTGAAGCTGGAAGCTATGAAGAGGATTGTGGCAGTGAGTATCTCTTTAGGCTTGTCACGTCTGCTTAAGATACTCTCCCTTTGATTGTGAGCTGATGTCCAAGACCCATCTTATAGTCCAGCATGAGGTTCTCTCCTGTTTAAGGAGTTCAAGGTCTAGTGTCCCCTCCTCTTTGATTTGAGGGACTTGTGTGAAGGCTGTCCTTTCTCTTTTCTCTCCACTTAATGCCAACCCTTTGGTATTGTTTCCTTGTCAAAAAACACAAGAGAAGGTTAGATAAATAGAAGTATTAATGTAAGAGAAAATTGATCTTATTGTATATAATACAGATAGGGAAATTTGGAGAGAGGAGTTGCTCGGACATTACCCCTGAATTGTATCTGAAGAGGGATGAGAGGGAAGAAAGGAGAGGAGAGAGAAAAGAGTAAAGGAGGGGAGAAGGAAGTAGGAAGGTTGGAGGAGAAGAGGAGAAGTGGGGAGAAAAGGGAGGAGAGTGGTGAAGGAAAGAGAAGAGGAGAGGAAGAAGAGGGAAGTAGGAAAGAAAGAGAAGAAAGGGAGAAAGAAGGTAAAGAAGAAGGAGTGCGGATACAGTGAAAAGGGAAATGGGCGAGCAACACCAAAAGTCATGTGTATGTATTTATTTCATTTTATTAAAAGTATAATATATAAGAATGTAAAAAGAATGTATGTTAACATCTGATAAATATCACGGTACATGTATGGGGGAGAGTTTTGAAAAATAAAAAAAATAATATTAAAAAAAAACCTTACTACCCTGAAAAAAACACAATCCCTTGACGTTTTATGAACAGGATCCCAAAAATGACTATGAGAGTGTGACGTCTCATACCTTCTATCTAAAGCAGTATTTCTCAACCTTAACAACTGTAAGCTGAGTGGACTTCATCTCCCAGAAGGCATGGCTGGCTGGGGAATTCTGGGAGTTGAAGCCCACTCATCTTAAAAGTTGCTGAGGAACACAGATTTAAAGTGTTGAGAGAGGTAGGATGCCATCTCAAGAAGGGTCCAAAGGGACCACAACATTTGTTGATGGAAATTCCCTACACCGCATTCTCCACTAACCACCCCATGGCTGTTTTTCCCCGCCCCCAGATGATTGCTCGTGGCAAGAACGCATCAGACCTCTTTCCAGCCGTGGTCAAAAACGTGGCCTGCAAGAATATAGAGGTAAGTCATCTTGTGCGTGCATTCCCTGCATTGCACTAAACTGAAAAAGCAGATGTTTGTTTGGAACAGATTATGTTCTATGACTCCAGTCGGGTGGTTAGCAAACTGTGATTTGTGGCGTAGTGTAGCATGCACACTTAGCCAAAGGAAGCCAGCTCAGGGTGTTTCTCTGCTGATGATGCTTCTAACTCCTTTGATTTTCAGATTGTAATTCTTATATATCCAAGCACATGGCAGCAAACAGGAAGAGCTGCCACCTAAAATACTCCGAGGGCACTAAGTTGCCTCTCCCTGGCCTAAGTAAATATTAAGTAATAAAGGGAGTTTTGCTAAACTCACATTGTTTCTTGAATAAAAGTTCATGTAACATACATGCTAATGCTGCTGTGGACTTCAAATTTAAACCAGGAAGCAATTGTTTTGGTCCAAAATCTCTGCTTACTCCTGTGGATATTGGTTGTTATTGTTGTTCAGTTGCTAAGTCGTGTCTGACTCTTCGCCATGGATCACAGCATGTCAAGGTCCCCCATCCTCCACTGTTTCCCAGAGTCTGCCCAAATTCATGTTCATTGTATCAAGGACACCATCTAACCATCTCATCCTCTTCCATCCCCTTCTCCTTTCGCCTTCCGCCATGGCCAACCTTAGGGTCTTTTCCAAGGAGTCCTCTTTTCTCATTAGGTGGCCAGAGTATTTGAGCCTCAGCTTCAGTGGATGGTAGTAGCTGACCATAACCTGAGATCCTTGTTTCACCCAGTGTAAAAACATTGACTCCTTCATGGATTACTGCCTTGTGGCGAAGGGGCTTGCGTAACTCAATGAAGCTATGAGCTATGCCGTAAAGGGCTACCCAAGACGGACCGGTCATAGCAGAAAGTTCTGACAAAATGTGATCCACTGGAGAAGGAAATGTCAACCCACTCTAGTATCTTTGCCATGAAAACTTCATTGACAGTACCAAAAGGCAAACTCAAATACTTTGGCCACCTAATGAGAAGGAAGGACTCCCTGGAGAAGAGCCTGATGCTGGGAAAGATTGAGAGCAATAGAAGAAGGGGACGACAGAGAAGGAGGTGGCTGGATGGAATCACTGAAGCAGGAGGCGTGAGCTTAAATGGACTCCAGAAGATGGTAGAGGACAGGAAGGCCTGGAGGAACGTTGTCCATGGGATCGCGATGGGTCGGACATGACTTCACAACTAACAACAACAACAAAAACACTGACTGCTTTGTGTACTTAAAAAAACAATACACTCTCAACTCTGTTTTCCCAGACTTGTTGCTTATTTGCTGGTTGTTTAAACAATAACTTCGACATGGTTTATGCTTGAAAAACATCTGTTGGATAGAACCTGAAAGAGAAAAGAACAGGAAAAGGCTGAGGGATCTGAAAAAAGTTTCCTACCGAGGAATCAAATTAGGCAGCAGATTTGAGAGGTTATGGAAAGGCTGCAAGCTAATAGCTGTTAGTGTATTTATTGCTCAGCACGATCATAAAAACAACCCTAACCTTGTGCAACATGAATTGTGGCGCGAGGATCTCATTGCTTGCAAAATAATTTGAGCCAGTCCTGGATGTAAGAACGAAATAATTTGTTGGGGACAGTGGTATCCAAGGAAAAAGCCAAGGGGAAGGGTTGATAGTTGAAGAAAAACATAAGCCGAGTTCTCAGTTCCTGCCTGATCCTTATGCCATTTTTTCTGCCAGGTGAAGAAGCTGGTTTATGTCTACCTTGTCCGGTATGCAGAAGAACAGCAAGATTTAGCATTATTATCCATCTCTACTTTCCAGCGAGGACTCAAGGTTGGTCCCTGAGATACTCGGAGAACAATCCGTGTTGTACTTCATGTTCCAGTAAAGGTAGTCTTTGAATTAGGGCCATAACTGAGACTGGCAACTATAGTCATGACAGTCACAAAGAGTGTGACCCGGCCGTATTTTCCAGCCTTTTTCTGTAAAACACAAGAGTCAGTTGTTAAACAAGCCCATTATTCACTATGGGCCAGCAAAACTGTCATAAATAGTGGTCAAATGACATTGTAAATGATTGTAAATGTGGGCCAGTTGCTGAGCACCCAAAATGAGACCAGGGATGGGCACCCAATGTTGGAACTTCAAAACCAGATTGTAAGTAGCTTTCGGGGGGTCCGTTGTAATTTCGGGGACGGGTTGAATGGGATGTCCCAATGCATTGAGCACCGGGGGTGATTCGTTCTGACTTCAACAACTTTGAGCTTTACCCGCGTCCTTATGAAAGCGGGGGTAGCTTGAAATCTTCCCGCTGGGAAGGTTTACCTTGAGGGTCTCTCTTCCCAATTTCTTCTTGGCTCCAGGATCCCAATCAGCTGATTCGAGCCAGCGCCCTCCGGGTCCTCTCCAGCATCCGTGTCCCCATCATTGTCCCCATCATGATGCTGGCCATCAAGGAGGCAGCATCGGACATGTCTCCGTATGTGCGCAAAACTGCAGCTCATGCCATTCCCAAGCTGTACAGGTAAAGGTGACCTCTCCAGAACCATGGCTTGGTTGTGCCAATTGCAGCTAGCTCCTGTTGAGAGATTTGGGCATAGAGGTGAAGGCATCAGACTAGAAACCAGGAGATGGTGAGTTCTAGTCCCACCTTAGGCCTGAAAGCCAGTTGGTTGACTGTGGGCTAACCACCAGGAGAGAGTGAATTGTAGTCCCATTTTAGGCATAAAATTCAGCAGGTTGATTTGGGGCCAATCACCAGAAGATAGTAAGTTCTAGTCACGCTTAGGCATGAAAGCTGACTGGGTGATTTGGACCAATCACCAGGAGATGGTGAGTTCTAGTCCTGTTTTAAGTATGGAAGTCAGTTGGGAAACTTTGGGCCAGTCCCTATTAACCCAATCCAGTTCACAGGGTTTTTGTTGTGGGGAAAGTAAGAGGAGAATTAAATAAATTTGCTGCCTTGTGTTATTTATAAAAATAATAAATGCAGGATTTAAAAAAAAATCTAAATCAAATCAGTTAGGTATAAGTGCTAAAACCATTGACCAAGAGACTACCACACAGATGTTAAATACTGTATTACAGTGTGCTTGGCTCACATCTTTTTGCCTGCCTGTTTGCACAGGGGTGTGCAAAATTTTTGGCTCAGGGCCATGTTTGTTCTTTCAAAAGTATGCAAGGAGGTGCCTTCTCACAGCATAGCAGAACAAGGGCAAATATACAAGCAGGCAGGGTAAAAACTAAATAAATATGGGTAGATTAAATAAATTCACTTTCATCAAAGACAGTTAATATGAAGTCTCAAATGTGTTTTAATGATTATCTTCTTTTGTTGTAAGAAATTGGGGGAAGCCCTGGAGTGACTGCCAAAGGTTTTGAGGGTGTCATGTGATCCTAGATCTTACTGTGGACTTTTGTGCCTCTCTCTCTCACACACACACACTCTCACACACACACAAACAGAGAGAGAGAGAGAGAGCACATATATAGACATGTTTCTGTGTGAATGAAGGGATGAAGCTGGCGTGTGAATTTCAAACAGTGAATCATTTTTAAATGTATCTCTTGGTCTTCATTTCAAGGACCAATCTAAGCCCAACGTGAAATAATTCACATTATGCGCTAGGACACTGTGTTGACTCAGCTTTTAGAAAAAGATTTATCCACCTAATGGCTTTGTCTGTTCCTTGCAGCCTTGATTCAGACCAGAAAGACCAGTTAATTGAGGTCATTGAGAAGCTGTTGGCTGATAAGACCACGGTGAGTAAGACTGTCACTGGAGGGGATGGAGATCAGGGGAGAAAACTGAGACAGAAAAAGTGAATTTGCAAAACGTTTCAGGAATGGCATCGTGGAAATAGCATTTCTCAACCTTGGTGACTTTAAGAAGTATGGACTTCAACTCCCAGAATTCCACAGCATGCTGGTTAGGGTATTCTGGGAGTTGAAGTCAACAGACTTTAACACGGCCAAGATTGATAGGACTAGCACAGATTGCCCAAGTGATACTGTTTGGATTATCAGGTGCCGGATAATAATCCATAAAATCTCATGCTTCATTTTTGTGCTCAGGGTGCTACAAGAGTTTAAAGAAAGATAAACAGATAGGAAAGACTAAATTAAAAAAAAAAAAAGACAGTCAATTTGCTTTCTTCAGTAGGGCCAAGGAAGAGCTTTTTCACAATTGTTAAAGAAATCTAGGAAAAATGCTTCTCTGCTCTGAATCTGAACAGTCTCTTAATTTGCAAATTGTGTTCTCTGTCTTCTTCTCCAGTTGGTGGCTGGCAGCGTGGTGATGGCATTTGAGGAAGTCTGCCCTGAGCGCATTGACCTTATTCACAAGAACTACCGCAAGTTGTGCAACCTGCTGATCGATGTGGAGGAATGGGGCCAGGTGGTGATCATTAACATGCTGACTCGCTATGCCCGCACGCAGTTCCTCAGCCCCAACCTGAACGTGAGTCAAGGAGCAGATGATGTAGGAGTCCACCTACTAGGTCCTTTAGTAGCTCCCTGAATAGGATGTGGTTCTTTATCCAAGCATGATTCAAAGGCTTCTCTTCAGCAAGATTTATTGAGATGGAAAGGAGCACGGTGGTTAGGACGCTGGGATGGAAGTTAGTAAGCCGGCGTTCGAGACCCAAGTGCTGCCATGGGGCGGAGTGAGTTCCCATCCTTTGCTCCAGCTCATGAAAGGAGGCCCCAACTGGGCAGTCTCCCGGGCAACGGTGATACCACCAGCTAATCCAGTGATGGCAAACCTTTTAGAGACTGAGTGCCGAAACTGCAACCCCAAACCCACTTATGCATCGTCGAGTGCCAGATGGGTGTGGCCCATTGGGTGGGCGTGGCTGCGGTGGTAACAGCAGACTGGGTGGGACTAAAAAGTTCAATCAATCAATTCCAACTTTGCAAGATCTTTTTTTTCCTGCGAGAAGTTGAAATTGACTGATTCAATGAACCTTCTTTTTTTTTGTACATGGCGGCGGAGGCCTAAAGCGAAAAGATTTTATAAAACCCAACTGAAGGCCTAGGACTGGGGCGACGGCGCGCGTGCCCACAGAGAAGGCTCTTCAGTGCTGCCTCTGGCACCCGTGCCATAGGTTCGCCACCACTGGGCTAATCCTTTCCACCCAGAAGCGCCTCGGCTTCTGACACAAATGGCGATGCAGTTGAGATGGAAGGGGTAGTGTGATGGAATGCAGACTGGATTCCCTGGCGGGAGGGAGGGGCCGCATTCCAGAGGGGTAAGAGACAGTGAAGTTTGATTGGGAGAAAAAAGAGTTAAGAAGCCATGCTCAGAGTAGATGTTCAGTGATGCCAAAAGTTGCTTTGGTTTGGCAAGATTTCTGCCTATAGGTGAGGAGAACAATAAAGGAAATTGTTCAGAAGTAATTCCACAGGTCTTTCTTGGTCCTTGGGGCGTGACAGGCAGGGGTACAAGACTCCCAAGAAGGGAACATATTTTCAACTTAGAATCAATATATCTCAGAGGACGTTAGAATGGAAAGGGTGTGAATCTCTTTTTCAGAGACTTACGGAGAAAAGGTTATGGAGAAATCGGCAACCGGTTGTTTACGTTCTATTTCCTGAACCTTTCTCAGTTAAAACATCCAGCTGTAATACTGTCAGGGTGGCTAGGTTCAGAGTTATTAGCAGTGGGAACCTGAAGCGTCCACATTTCAGGGGCACCCTACCTGCTTTTGCGCAACCTGGCCCCACAGGGCCTTGTTATGTTCGCAGAACAGGATGTCCCAGTTCACACAGCATGTGCAACTTGCCTAGAACAGAGCTGAATAGTTTGCGATTGCGGGAAACACAATTGTCTTTGTATAGTCTGTGAGTCAGGCCGTCCTACTGAACCAAAACGTGATTGATTTGTTCTTTGGGTATAGCATATTATGCAAAGGAAGCCATTTTATTTCCCATCAGGATGGGAAATAAATCAGACAATCGGGTTTGTGGCGTAATGAGCTATAAGCCCAGCTGATGCAGAGCCGTTTGGAAGTGGCTCGCAGATTGGGGGGAAAGGACCACATACTCTACCTCAAAATACCTTTCGTTATTATTTGCTGATGGACAGGAATCTCTCCTGGAGGAGAGCGCTGAGAAAACCTTCTATGGATCCGAAGACGAGGATGCCAAAGATGACAAGGCCAAGTCCACACCCTTGGCAAAGCGCAAGCCTTACGTGATGGATCCCGACCACCGCTTACTCCTACGCAACACCAAACCGCTCTTGCAAAGCCGCAATGCTGCGGTGAGCCCTTTTCCTGGCGTCGGGGTGGTGGGAAGCTTGCCCAGAAAATTAAGAAGCCCTCTCCCTTGTCTTGGGGGGGTCACCAAAATGGGTGAAGAAAAGAAGAAAGGGAGAAAGATTAACCCTATGCAAGGACATGACCAAGTGGGGGGGGGAGGCGATCACTTGAATCCGAAGGTCACGCCATCTTGGTTTCCTTCAGAAAAGTGGGCAGGGCCAATAGGAAAGGGGCGGAGTCAGCTGGACCCGTGAAAATATTTTTCCCCCAACCTTGAGCATCTTAAAGTGAAATGTGACCTTATTCTGTGAAAAAGGACAGTTATCTGGCGGTGATTCTCATCCGTCCTGAGCGTTGATAACTGTGACACAAGTTTCAGGCCTTCTCTAAGATCTTTGGGCAAGAAGAACAGAAGATTTCTGGGCTTTCCTCCATAGAGTGTTTTTTTTTTCTTATTGGTCTGCTGTCCACCCCAGATTCCTTGGATTTGGGGCATTCTACATTCAGCTGATTCTTCTTGAAGGGTTTATTTCCTGCTGGTGGATACGGCAAGCAGATAAACATCTCGCTGGTTCTACCAGCTTGTGCCACCATGTCCTCCTCTGTTTTTCAGGTGGTGATGTCAGTTGCTCAGCTCTACTTCCATCTTGCTCCCAAGGCTGAGGTTGGGGTCATTGCTAAGGCCCTGGTGCGTCTGCTGAGGAACCACAGGTCTGCAGATGCTTCCTTCCCACTTTCTACAACCCCAGGACCTCATTTGTCTTTTTTCTGATGTAATGCGTTCTTTCAGCAAAGTGACCAAATCTGGGCATTTCTGCCAGTTTCCAACAATCCTTGATAACATCTTGCTTTGTGTCAGTGTTAGGAGCTGGATGTCCCTTAGAAAGGGACAAAATATTATAGTGTGAGATGATTCTTTTCAATGTCCCAGGCAGTTGTGACCTTTTTTCCCCCCTCCACAAGGTTCCATTCCATTCACTCTTTCCCTTTTTCCATTTCCACCTCCCCAAAGTGTGCTGACTGCAGGTGTTCAGCTTTTATCAGTTACAGCCATCACTTTAATACGTTTTTCGCAAACTAGCACTCTAGTACACAGGTATTCCAACTCCTGTCTGCTGGCTAGAAATGGGAATGGTAATTCCATCACTGCTGGAGAACATTGTTGCTTTTTTTTTTCCCCCAATTTTTTTTTATTAATTTTGAAATAACCCCCCCACTTACAAATATAAACATACATTAATACAACTTTAGTATTATAAGTTTTACAAACATAAACGTTAATATTGCAAAACAGCCCGGCAACCCCCCCTCCCCACGTCCGCCCTCTTTTCTCCTCCTTCAACCTCCCTACACATCCCACCTCCTTCCCTCTCCTCTTCCTACGGGCACGGTTTAGGGGCGCTAACCGAGCATTAGCTCGGCAGCACCCCCTCCCCGCATCCGCCCTCTTTTCCACTACCTACCTACTTCCCTCCTGTCTCTCCTCTCCTCTTCCTCTCCCTCCCTTCGGACACGGTTTAGGGGTGCTAACCGAGCGCCTTCTATATTTCTCCATACATCAATACTCCTAATTTAATNCCATCTTCCCCAAACCCAAATATCTTAAAGTTAATCTTTGCCATTTCTGCAAAATAAAAACAGCCAATAATCTTGTTGCTTGAAGAAAGCAGATATTCACTAAGATCCTTGTACAAACTAAGGCCAGCCCTATTTTTGATGATAGTGGATCTCAAGAAGGTCCAGCCTGATTAATGGCTGCATGTCTGTCTGTCTGCCTGTCTTGCAGTGAGGTTCAATATGTGGTTCTTCAGAACGTGGCCACCATGTCCATCAAGCGAAGGGTAAGTGCCTCTTTTCCAGGTGGGAATTTTTCACATGGCTCCCTCAAAATGTGAGTTTGGGTTTTCTAGAGATCTGTCCTGTTCCACTTAATATCAGCCAGAGCTTATTTCATTTGTCAGAGAGGGAGCGATTAGAAATCCTGAAGAAAATTTTTTTTTGACTTCTGGAAAACCAGAGAATCGTATGGATTTGGGTTTTTTTTAGTTGAATCTGTTTCTCTCTCCTCCTCTTCCTCCAGGGAATGTTTGAGCCCTACCTCAAAAGTTTCTACATCCGATCGACTGATCCCACCCAGATTAAGATCCTCAAGGTATACTAAATGCTCAGATATCCCCTACCCCAAAAATATATCTGTTTCCAAATAGCACATTTTTTTTCTTTTCAATATTAAAAACCACCTACTAAAGCAGAGATAGCAAAAAAGCCATTAAAAATGAAAGACTGACAATATTGTATGTTAATGGTGTAAATCTGTGATGGAAATTATATATGGTACTAAGCTGTGATGTGACTTGTTTGTGCCAATCCTCAACTGATGGATGGATCTAGTTAGGTTCATTGGTAAACCATGGTTTGCTGAAGGTTACATCAGAAACAGGCCACATTGCTTATTGAACCACGACTTAATGTCTTTTTGTATCTTCTTAAAAACAGGCTACATCTAAGTAAGAGATTCACTAATCATATACTAGCTACAAACCTAACAGTGAGATTTACCCCTAAGTTTATTATTTGGGGCAAAAGCAAATGAAAAAAGAAAACTTTTTGATGTCCCTAACATATACTTCTCTTTAGAAGACAGCTTGTAGCAAATTCTCTTAAGTTTGTCCCATTCCTTTGAATTTTGCCCTGCCCAAATAGATTGCAAAGCGTGGCTTAGCTCTAGTTATTTGCTTGCATTTCTACATGCTCAAAGAAGCAATGATATTTCAAGCAAACCTATTCTGTTTTTTGTTTCTATCCTGCCAGCTGGAAGTTTTGACCAACTTGGCTAACGAAACCAACATTTCTACCATTTTACGGGAATTTCAGGTAATAAATAGAAAATTTTAGCCTAGGGCAGGGATGACGAACCTTTTAGAGACCGAGTGCCCAAACTGCAACCCAAAACCCACTTATGCATCATCGAGTGCCGGGTGGGTGTGGCCCATTCGCTGGGCGTGGCTGCGGTGGTAACGGCAGACTGGGTGGGACTAAAAAGTTCAATCAATTCCAATTTTGTGAGATCTTTTTTTTCCCCGCGAGAAGTTGAAATTGACTGATTGATTGAACCTTTTTTTTTTGTACACGGCAGTGGAGGCCTAAAGCGAAAAGGTTTTATAAAACCCAGCTGAAGGCCTAGGACTGGGGCAACGGCGCATGTGCCCACAGAGAGGGCTCTGAGTGCCGCCTCTGGCATCTGTGCCATAGGTTCACCACCACTGTCCTAGGGGTATTTTCCACTTCAGGGTGTAATGCCAGAACTTTTGCGTACGGAGCAATTTTTTTCCCCTTTTGATATATTTTTATTAAAAATGTTAAAGAGAATACAAAAACGGAAGGAAAAGGGAAAGGGAGAAAAGAGTAAAATACAACTGAGTAAATAATTTATTTACATGGAGATTATAATGTTTCGGTATATCATTAATTGATTGTGATCGACCAAATGTATTGTTTTAAAGCTTGAACATCCCTGTGAAGTTCTAAGCATGTCTAAATACAAGGACACATTGCTACCGAAGTGTGAAATATATAACAAAATTGTGAGCTGTGGTAAATAAGCCTAATAAAAATCTCTTCCAATTTAAAAGTTCTATAAAATTAAAAATATATTCAGAAAGAAGCACCCGTCGGGGATGTGGTACAAATCCATCTATTGAATCGTAGGCGAGGAAGGATTTCCAGGTTGAATTAAGTTCCTTGCTAGGTTTATTTTTGAAATATGAAATTAGTCTAGACATCAAAGCAAACTCCTAGCTGTTTGGATTTTTTTCCTTCCATGGGAGAAAACTTGTTTCAGCTTGAAAGACCTAGATACTCAGCTAGATCTTTGTGTCCGCAGACCCCTGTGGGGACTGTGATGTCACAGAGGGTCTGCAGAGGCTGGAAGAAAGGTTATGATTTAAATTTTGAGTTAAGCCTTGGGGGTCCGTGGCCGTGATCTGTGGCCACAACAGGTATTTAAACGGGGTCTGTGGTGAAGAAAAGCTTGAGAACCACTGGGCTAGATCAGTCCTATATAGTAGACAGATACGTTGGGCAAGATGTTTGTTCCTTCTCTTCCTGCAGACTTACATCCGGAGCATGGATAAAGACTTTGTGGCTGCCACAATCCAGGCCATCGGCCGTTGCGCCACCAACATCGGCCGAGTGCGGGACACATGTCTCAACGGACTAGTTCAGCTGCTGTCCAACCGAGATGGTGAGAAGTTGCTTTTAGAATCCACCTAATGACTTGGAACAATGTGAACAAATCATGCAACACACTTGGGTGTGTGTGTGTGTTTGGGTGTGTGTGTGAGACTATGCTCCAAAGATGATGGAATGAGGTCAAAAAATGGATAGAACTGTGATGCAAGCAAAATTTTTGATTGATTGATTAAACTGAAATCATCCCCCACCCAACTCACACAAATGGAACTCTGGGTGGCATGTATCAATATAAAAAATATTCAAGTGCAGTTAAACTACAACAGCAATTAATAGAACAGCAGACACCGCTGGTATACACTACACCTTGTAAGACCTCATCCCTTCCCACCATCCTTCCCTCCAATTCCATTAAAAATGGCCCATTTTCCCACACTAGGAAATGGAAATAGAAAACTAGTGGCCACTTTCAAAGGGGCTTTGGAAGTTGGGAGGACTGTTCTTGGATCTCAGGCTGTGTACTGCATCCATGCAGATGATCCCCATTTAAACTAGAATCCTGTGCTGTTTTTGGGGTAGAAGCTTAAACAACAGAGGCCAGGTATGTCATCCGTTGATCTGTTCTTGAGAAGAACTCTTCTGAAGTTGCTTGTGATGTCTTTCTCAGATCTCCCGAGACCTTTGCCTCATTTTCTCTAACAGCTGAGCTGGTCTGGTTTATGTCGACCTTTGTGTTTTCTCTGTCATCCTACTTAGAGCTGGTCGTGGCTGAGTCGGTGGTGGTCATTAAAAAGCTTCTACAGATGCAGCCATCTCAACACAGCGAGATCATCAAGCATATGGCTAAGCTGACAGATAACATCCAGGTTTGAACAAGAGCTGAAGGAGAGGTTGTCTCCGGCCTCTACTTGGGTGGGATGTGATGGACATGAGAGGATGGGGAAGGCAGGGCTGAGAGACCCAGAGGTCACTTTCCTTTGCGCATAGGTTCCCATGGCCCGGGCTAGCATCTTATGGCTGATTGGTGAATACTGTGAACATGTGCCCAAGATTGCCCCAGATGTTCTGCGCAAGATGGCCAAGTCCTTCACCAGCGAGGAGGACATCGTGAAGCTGCAGGTGATCAATCTGGCAGCCAAACTTTATCTGACAAACTCTAAGCAGGTAAGGTCGTTTCTGAAAATAACAGGGGAATGTAGGTTTCTAGGCCAGTACCTAGAGGTTATGTCATAGACCAGGGGTCTTCAAACTTGGCCTTTTTAATGACTTGTGGACTTCAACTCCCAGAATTCCTCAGCCAGCCATGCTGGCTGGGGAATTCTGGGAGTTGAAGTCCACATGTCTTAAAGTTGACCCTTAGCTTAGTTGATCAACCACTCCTGATGCAGAAGTATTTAATTACACAATCATTGGCGTCCACAAGTCATAAAAGGGCCAGGTTTGAAGACCCCTCTCATAGACACATCCAGGAGACACATATCAAATGCCTCTTAATTTCCAAAGTAAAAGAAAATGTCTATGTACATGTTTTGTACTGGAACTGTTGCATATCTTAGGATAATATTTCAAAAAGAGACCTATTAATACGTAATAACTTTTCCAAACAAAGGTCCACATTTCAAATGGTATCCCTGGTCCAGGACGTTTTGAAAAAAATAAAATCCAGAAACTATTAAAGAGGCCAGTTACATTAAATTTAATAAATAAAGAGTTGATTCACACAATTTGAAAGTTTAGCAGTGACTTAAATCCATTTCCAACCTTAAGGGAGAACACTTGCATGTTTTAGCAGATGGAAAGAAGACAAAAGAAATAGAAACAGTTGTATCTTAACAAAGCCAGAGGTCCTTGCAAGTGGAGGAGAGGGGCATATATTTTTAAAAATAAAGTCAAAAGAATTCCAGATGGAGAGTTTAGCTATTAAGAGCTGGAAGAAACAAATCAAATCCAGGTTCCAACGATATAAAATAATTTCCTTGCAATATTCAGAGGGATGTGTATATTCATGGAAAAGACAGAATTAATATATTGTACAATTGGAAGATCTTCTAACTTGCCCTTTAGTATTCTTTAATTTTATTTATTATATTTATGAATGTAATTGAAATCTCCATGCATCTGCCCTTTGGTATTAAGATGTTGCCAGGAATTGTCCCCCAAATGCCCAGCTTGTAATTTGAGACTGACCCATCACTTCATCTTTTTTTGTTCTCTGCCACGTCGGCTATGGCACCTACAGAGTAAGCTGCTGACTCAGTATGTGCTGAACTTGGCCAAGTACGATCAGAATTATGACATTCGGGACCGTGCCCGTTTCATCCGCCAGCTCATTGTACCCACTGAGAAGAGTGGTGCCCTCAGCAAGTATGCCAAGAAGCTTTTCCTGGCACAAAAGCCTGCTCCCATTTTGGAGTCCTCTTTCAAAGGTAAGGCGTGACCAAAGCTATGGGAACTGTTGGAAGGACCGTGGTGCCATGGCCTTCAGACTTTGCCGATTGCTTCTTCCTTCCAGATCGTGACCACTTCCAACTGGGCTCCCTTTCACACCTCTTGAACGCAAAAGCGGTGGGCTACCAGGAGCTTCCCGATTGGCCAAATGAAGCTCCAGATCCGTCTGTGCGCAACGTGGAGGTAGGACTAGCCTTCTCTTTACTGGTGATGGGATGTGGGGATCCTTGCAGCCGGTTCTACTCATTGATATTATGAAAATATTGGGTGTCAACATGTCAATGATCTAGTCTTTGACTTGTACAAGAGCCATTTCTTGTTGTGGTAGATGAGGCCACCGTATCTTCTACAGGTGACTGTCCTCGCAATGTCCAGTGGTGTGTATTGTTCTGTTTTGATGAAAGGTTGGTTCCTACACCCCATGCTTATTTTTTTAGGAAGACTCCATTGATCGTAGAGGAAGCCACATTGGGCTACTGGGTGGACCCAAAGAGGTGGTGCTTGTGTGTGCAGTGATAGTTTACGCTTTTCCATTCTCCTCCTCCTCCTCTTCCAGCTTCTCTCCCTTGTGCTGTGCATCTCTGACTGTGTGCTAGTTAGGACTTCAATCCTAAAGATTGAAAATACTTTTGATGGACTAAAAAAGGACCCTGGTTTAGTTTGTGGATTTATTTTTAAAATATTATTTTAAAAGCTACAGGACCTCTTCTTAGTCAAGGCGTTCCACATTTCCATTCTCGTAGCAGATCAGAGAGGATGTCTATAGAGATTCTCAGTCATCTAGGTCAGGGGTCTGCAACCTTGACAACTTTTTAAAGACTTGTGGACTTCAGCTCCCAGATTCTGGGAATTCTGGGAGCTGAAGTCCACAAGTCTTAAAATTGTCAAGGTTGCAGACTCCTGATCTAGGTCATGGTTGTCACAAAGGTGTTTTTTCAAAAGGCAATTGGACTTTTCTTTGTTTTTTCCTTGAAGATATTTTGCTTCTCATCCAAGAAGCTTCTTCAGTTCAGTGTTAGAATTCTGGGAGTTGAAGTCCACAAGTCTTGAAGGTCGCCAAGATTGGACATCTCTGATCTAAATTATGACACGCAAGATATATCGCCCAAGAAAATCTTTCAACCGTGGCTGCAGGTCAAAAATCTATCCTGGGCAGTTAAAAAAAGGGGTCTCCACACTTGCAACTTTAAGACTCGTGGACTTCAACACCCCAGAATTCTCCAGCCTGCATGGAATTCTGGGAGTTGAAATCCACACATCATGAAGTTGCCAAGTTTGGAGACCCCTGAGTTAAAAGAACTAGGCTAGGCTAGATGATGGGAAGAGATTTTGGGTTTTTGAAGGGATGTTACCCCTGCCAAGATGGTCATTGCTGGGAATTGCTGTTCAGCAGCATCAGGAGAAGCTCAGGGTTTTTTCCTCCTCGATGCATAATTTGAACTGGACTCTGAACACGCCGGCTTTTCAGGTGTAATGAAATCTCATTTTAATGGATGAGGTGGAGGGCGGAAGTCTCCAGATCTTCACGAATGTCCATTAAATGCAGGATGGATTGAGTCATGTTTGTTACTGGGTGCAGGTTTTGTGGTGGAAATCTGGTCCATTGCATGCCATGTTTACTGTTCTACAGGCCACTAAATTGAAATGTCACTGAATTGTGGCTGTTCAGAGATCCTGCCGCGCAGCTATTAGTGCATGGGTGTCATGCTGATCTGCAGAAATACGCGATCTTCTCTGCCTCATCACTCAGATCCACCTTAGCTGACACTCTTGAGGGCTGCATCCCATGAACATCTTCTAGACCCCTCTGATGGGGATGCATGCCTCTTTCCCCTCGTGTGTGCACACGGCATACATGCACTCTTAGCTGCAACAAAAGAGATGCCCCTTGAATGCTCCTCTCCTGCATGCTGGCTCGTTTGCACCAAGGTAACATCTGTGCAGGGAACCCACTGCGGTGAAACCGAGCTCGGTCCCTGGCGTTCGAGTCTTGTTCTCTTCGCTCCCCTGTGTAGTAGGTTTTTGATGTGCTCAGTTCCATCTTTGCAATGAGGTACATGTTTCCTACCTCACGGCTCCATCCAGGTCCCGGAATGGACCAAGTGCAGCAGTCGTGAGAAGAGGAAGGAGAAGGTGGAGAAGCCTTTCTATTCGGATTCAGAGGGGGAATCTGGAGCCACGGAATCTGCTGACAGTGGTGAGTATAATAATAATAATAATAATAATAATAATAATAATAATAATAATAATAATAATAATAATAATAGTAGTAGTAGTAGTAGTAGTAGTAGTAGTAGTAATGTTGGAAGGGACCTTGGAGGTCATGTAGTCCAACTCCCTGCTCAGGCAGGAAACCCTATACCATTTCGGACAAATGGCTGTCCAGTCTCTTCTTAAAAACTTCCAGTGTTGGAGCATTCACCACTTCTGGAGGCAGGTTGTTCCACTGGTTAATTGTTCTAACTGTCAGGAAGTTTCTCCTTAGTTCTAGGTTGCTTCTCTCCTTGATTAGTTTCCCTCCATTGCTTCTTGTCCTGCCTTCAGGCGCTTTGGAGAATAGCTTGACTCCCTTTTCTTTGGGGCAGCCCCTGAGATAGCGGAAGGCTGCTATCGTGTCCCCCCTCGTCCTTCTCTTCGTTAAACTAGGCATACCCAATTCCAGCAGCCTTTCCTTATATGCTTTAGCCTCCAGTCCCCTAATCATCTTTGTTGCTCTTCTCTGCACTCTTTCTAGAGTCTCAACATCTTTTTTACATCTTGGTGACCAAAACTGGATGCAGTATTCCAAGTGTGGCCTTACCAAGGCCTTGTAAAGTGGTATTAACACTTCACGTGATCTTGATTTTATCCCTCTGTTAATGCAGCCTAGCACTGTGTTGGCTTTTTTGGCAGCTGCAGCACACGGATGGCTCCTATTTAAGGGATCGTCCACTAGGACTCCGAGATCCCTCTCACAGTTGCTAAGTACGGAGGAGATCTTCAATTGATCGCAAGAAGTCTTCAGCTTACGACTAGTCATCTAGCAACTGTTTGAAGTACAAGTAGTCCTTGATTTATGGCCACAAGTTGAGCCCAAAATTTCTGTTGCTGACTGGGAGAGGCATTAAGTGAGTTTTGCCTCACTTTACGACCTTTCTTCCAACAGTTGTTAAATGAATCAATGCAGTTGTTAAACTAGTAACTTCCCCATTGACTTGGCTTGTCAGAAGGTCGCAAAAGGGGATCACGTGACCCGCGGGGATACTGCAAACGTAAATATGAATCAGTTGCCAAGTTCTGAATTTTGATCATGTGATTCGGTCATAAGTGTGAAACACGGTCATAGGTCCATTTTTTCAGTTTCACATTTTTAACTTCAAACGGTCACCAAATGATGTAATGTTGTAAATCGAGGACTATGTGTAACAACAATCCCTGAAAAAGCTGCTTACAACTCGGATGCAAAGTTATGATGCCTGGAGGACCCCACCCCACCCTTCACAGTCACATGACCCCATTTTGAATGCTTGGCAACCGGCCCATATTAATGGCCATTTAGAGCATCCCACAGTCCCGTGGCCATGATTTATGCCATTTTTGCTAGAAACTGGCATTTACTTCCCCTTTTCAGGAAAAAAATGTCCGTGGCAAACAGCGGGTCCACTTAACTGCCACGTTTGCTTAGCAGCCGTGGCAAAACAAGATAATAAAATTAGGTACGGTCACATGGCAACCTTCTTAATGACCGTCACAATTTACAACCGTAATTGCGGGAAGTCAAGGAAACCAGGAGCTGTGTGTTTATTTATTGAATCGATTTTTTAAAAAAACCTTGCCTTTATTATTTTAATAAATAATACTCAAGGCGGAAAACATATCCAGCCTCAAACTCCTTAACCCAGTGGTGGCAAACCTATGGCACGCGTGCCAGAGGCGGCACTCAGAGCCCTCTCTGGGGGCACGTGCTCCATGCTCCGGAGATGGCAACCGTCCCTCTTCAACCAGCTGCCTGCTAACTCGCCGAGGTCCCACATGGCCAGATGCATCCCAGCACCCATGTGCTCGCTGGCCTCTGTGTGCGGGGGCTGATGGTATCAGGCAGCAGCCGCCCCGGCCCCTGCCTCACCTTGCCCTGTGACAATGGTACCCCCACTCTGCCTCACCTCACCCCGCAGGATGAGCCTCCTGCCCACCACCCCACCTACCAGAGACCCCCTGGATCTCCCCCAACCCTGCCCGGCCCCCACAGGCGTGTCTCTCCACGAGCAACATCGAGGTGATCACGCCCACCTTGGCCACACCCACCCAATCTGCCATGACCACCACAGCCACACCCACCCAGTGGGCCATGCCCACCCGGCACCCGGCGATAAATAAGTGGGTTTTGGGTTGCAGTTTAGGCACTCGGTCTCTAAAAAGGTTCGCCATCACTGCCTTAACCTCTTCTTTTTGCTGGCAGAGCCTGAGACCATGAGTGGATCTGAAAGTGGAACGGAGAGTGGATCGGGGTCTGGCAGTGAAGAAGAGGATGAGGAAGAGAGCGAAGACCAGTCGGAAGAGGAAGAGGAGGAGGAAGAGGAGGAGAAGAAGAAGAAGAAAAAGAAGAAGAAAGCTCCCCGGAAAGGCCTGCTGGAGAGTGCTGGCAGGTAGGGTCACCGGCTGAGGTTGGCCGTGGGGACAGACAAACGGGGATAGTTTGAGAGGCCCCCACTGCCACCTGGGCAGAAAGGCAGGTGAGCCAATGACACGGCCACGGGAACTCGGAAAAGGTGTCCACCATCTCCACAAGGAATAAGGAGACAGCCCGAATTTCAATTCTCCATTTCTTTCCTCTGGATGCTAGTGAGGAGGAAGAGGAGGAAGGAGAAGGAGAAAAGGAGAGGAGCAAGAAAAAACTGTCCCCCCGGGGAGAAAAGGAGGATTCGACCTCCTCATCCGAAGAGGACAACTTGTCTGAAAGTAGCTCAACCGAATCGGAATCCGAGTCCGAACTGGAGGAATCTCATCCCGAGGAGTCAAAGAAGAAAAAGCTGGTGAGCAGCGAGAAGGGGGAGGGGGGTTTGATGAAAAATGGGGGCACCAGGTTCATGAAAGAGCAGCTTGGCCTGGTGGTGAAGACGCTAAGCTAGAAAACAGGAGAGTTCTAGTCCCACCTTCAGCATGAAAGTCAGCGGGGTGACTTTTTGGCCAATCACCAGGAGACGGAGAGTTCTAGTCCCACCTTCAGCATGAAAGCTGGGTGGGTGACTGTGGGCCAGTCCATGTCTCAGCTCAGCCTACCTCACAGGGTTGAGCTGTGGGGAAGATAGGAGAAGGAAGGAGCATTTTATGTGTTCCCTACCTTGAGTTATTTATACAAATAATAAAGGTGAGATAGAAATAAATACAATTTAAAATATATCATTGAACTCTCTGATTGAGCACATCTCATCGGTTTAATCTAATTTTGTTCGTTGTTCAGAGCCTTTGCAGTTCTCAGTCCCACCAGGACTGCATGGAGTTGCAGTTGCATCTTTGGCATCTGCTTCCTAATTTTTGTTTCCTTTTTCTTTCAGCTTTCCAGCAGAAAACCCCCTCCTAAAGGACCCCAAAAAAGATTAAAGGAGATTTCTCTGCTTGACCTGGATGACTGTAAGCATCCCTCACACAGCCCCTCAAATCTTTCTCTCCTTCTCAATCTTTCTCTTAATCCTTCTCTAGGACTATTCCCTTAGGATGCCTTTTATTACTTTTCAATCAAGCTGTCCGTAATCTGGGCACTCGATAGATGGATGGATTTAAACTTCTCAGATCCTTAACAATGGCGGTGTTGGCTAGCAACTTCCAGGAATTGAAGTCTGTGTATTTGGAATGTGTGAGCTTGGGGAAGGCTGCTTTAAAGGAGCTTCTGGGTTGCTGCTTTACGATACATCAAAGAGTCATCAATCTGGCTTTTTTGTTCTTTTTTTTTCTCATTGTGTTCCTTCCCTTGCAGGAGACTTTTCCTTCCTTGAATGATGGGGGACGTCCTCCTCAAGGGGCTTCAAAGTTTAGTGCAAGGGTCTCTGAACTTGGCAACTTTAAGACTTGTGGACTTCAACTCCCAGAATTCGCTAGGGAATTCTGAGAGTTGAAGTCCACAAGTCTTAAAGTTGCCAAGTTCGGAGACCCTTAGCTTGGTGGATCAACCACTCCTGATGCAGAAGTATTTAATTACACAGTCACATCCCACACCTTCATATGGACCTATAACAGGGATCTTCAAACTTGGCCCTTTTATGACTGGTGGACTTCAACTCCCAGAATTCCTCAGCCAGGCACGCAGGCTGAGGAATTCTGGGAGTTGAAGTCCACCAGTCATAAAAGGGCCAAGTTTGAAGACCCCTGACCTATAACATATCCATGGGTGACTACTACCTACGCAACTATGTCTTGATGCCCCAATAGCAATTTAAGAATGGCTATTCATGGCTATCTAAATTATGAGATCTGTCCATGGTGCTGAAGTGTACTGTATCCAGCTTGCATTGACGTACCCCTTTATTCTAAGCTGTTTTCATGCTCAACCATGATTTGTCTAGTTTCCATTATTTTTCCCTTCAACTTTTAAATCAGTCTTGAATTATACAATATGGATTCTTGGTTTTCTGTTTCTTCAACCCACAGTCACACCCCTATCTTTGCAGCCGGTCACCACCAGCCCAGTTCTCTCCACTAGCCTCGTGACCGATCTTGAAGGGCTCACCTTGACTGACTCTTCTCTAACTGCAGCTGTGAGTGATCCTTGTGATTCTTGTTTGGAAAGGGAGAAATGAAATGCTATTAATAATCTCAAAGCAGCAAATGTGGTATCCGACTGTTTACAGTCCCCTCAATACACTTGTGAGGTAGAACTTGCTTTTAAAACATGGATAAGAGTAGAATTGGATAGCTGATCGGGCCTTAGAATTTGAATTCTCAAGATTTACCGCAACGTACTAACCATTATGCATTGCTCTTGTTTTGTTGATTTGGCTGCAAGACAGCCTGAGTTACGATAATTCTGTGCCTGGATATTACAGGTATAATGCTTTTTCTGGCTGGGCTTGTTAGAAAATTAATTCTTGGGTGTGGAATCTATGACCTGAAATGGGCCAAAAAAGAGAGAGATAGACCTCAGTGTTAAGACCTTGCTTATCCCAGGTTCAATCCATAGCAAATAAGACTGGGAAGAACATCTGCTTGAAACCCTAGTGCAGTGATGGCGAACCTTTTAGAGACCGAGTGCCCCAAAACTGCACCCCCATCCCTGCTCCGCCCTGCCCGCTGGGCCACCCACCAGCTCTATGGCCCGCCACAGATCACCCAGGCAGCCCAGCAGCGCCATGGCGGCCACGCCCTCCGCCCATGCCCCGCAGCATCATCTGCGCGCAACAGGGCGCAAGGGCAGAGTCTTGTCCCTGCTGCCCAGCTATCATGTCCTTGGCTCCGCTGCTTCGTGTGGGCCACGCCCAGGGGCAACTCTCCTCCAGGGGGGTTGCTGGTGAGGAGGGGGCCGTGAGAGGAGGCGGGGCTGGGGAGACGGTGCGTGTGCCCACCGAGAGGGCTCCGAGTGCCGCCTCTGGCACCCATGCCATAGGTTCTCCACCACTGCCCTAGTGAGCTGCTGATGGTCATTCTGGTGGCTTCCTTTGCTTGTAGCTCCTGATTGCAACTAGGGCAGCGGTTCTCAACCTATGGGTCGCGACCCCATTTGGGGTCGATCGACCATTTCACGGGGGTCGCCAAGCAAGGCTGTCCGCCATTTTTTTCCCCTTTTCCGGCGGGTGCCTTACCTCCCTTGGGCTGGGCCAGCTGGTGGTCGGCCTGCTCCGTCTCTGCCNCTTGCCAGCTACGCCTTGGCCGGCGCAGGGGGCGGAACCACGCATGTGCGGTGCTCCCGGGCAGGGAAAGTCCTCAACTTACGACCGGTTTAGTCCTCGACTTACGACCGGTTTAGTCCTCGACTTACGACCGGTTGGGGGTTGCGGCATTAAAAAGGTTGAGAACCACTGAACTAGGGGCTACTGCATCTCTAAAAGGAGATAGATTTCTACCCAAATTAACTGGATCATTATTTTTATCCTTAGAAATGTAGTAATTCCTGAAGAGAGCTGTCTTTAATCTCCACCCGTGTCCTTGCTCGTCTTCCTATTTGATTGCGTCGACTTGTTTTTCTTCTTCTTTGGCTCTTCCATCTGTAGATGATCAGCCCCGTCTTTGGGGCAGTGAAGAAATATGAGCTGCTGCATCGCATGACTGGGGAAGGACTCTCGGTTGAATACTATTTCAGCCGGCAACCTTTTGCTCCTGATCCCTGCATGGTAGCTGTGCAGATCCAGATCTCCAATAACATGGCAGCTGAAGTGAAAAATATCCGTGTGGCTGAGCCCAAGCTTCTCTCAGGCATGCGCATCCAGGAGTTCAAGGAGATTGGTACGGGGCATGTGTGTATAACGCTCTTTCTGGGATGAAGTGGTGAACGGTGTTGGGAAGGAGGCATCTTCAGGTGAGCCTAATAGATACTGATCACTGATAGGAGAGAATATTTGTAGCTCAGGGGCCCTTGGTGCTGTCTGAACTTGGTTGTTGTCTTGCAGACCTTTCATGACCCAGCTAGGTAACAATATCAGTGCTAGAATGGAGGAGGGTTTGTAGGATGGAGGAGGAGGACTATGGAGTCCTTAGTGCCCTCTGAGCTTGGTTGTTTTCTTACAGACGTTTCATGACCCAACTGGGTAACATCATCAGTGCTAGAGTGGAGGAGGGTTTGTAGAGTGGAGGAGGAGGACTATGGAGTCCTTAGTGTTCTTTGAGCTTGGTTGTTTTCTTGCAGACCTTTCATGACCCAACTAGGTAACATCATCAGGTTACTAAAGGGAGTGGGGTTTGCAGAGTGGAGGAGAAGGAAAAAGGAGTGGAGGAAGAGAAGGAGGAGAACTGTGGATTCTTCATGCTTTCTGAGCTTGGTTGTTTTCTTGCAGACATTTCATGACCGAATTAGATGATATCATCATTGGGTAATGAAGGAAAATAACCAAGCTCAGAGAGCACCAAGGATCCCACCGTTCAGTTGGAGCTACAATTATTCTCTTCTCTCGGTACTGATCATTTGGCCAAGCTGGTGAAAGGGCCCATCCATAACCTGTCACTCTCTAGTTGATTGGATTCCCAGCATTTCTAATTTGGGTGGAGCCATCGTTCAGTCTGCATGGAAAACCCCATATTGGAGAAAACAGTATTGTAGTCAACGTGTTTGATCTGTTGACGAGAAATGCAACCGTCCAGTGTATTTAGGATTCCTCCTGACCCTTTGACGTCTTTCATTCCATGCTGTTTGAGAGCTGAGGAAATCTCTTTTGTTGTCCTGATCTGGTAGAGGTGTGGACAGTTGCTCCCCTAAGCTCCTTCTCTGGCTCTTTCCCCTGTGCTTGCAGAGTCTCTGGCCCCCGGCGAAACGGTCAGTGTGGTGATGGGCATAGACTTCTGTGACTCTACCCAGGTGGCCAGTTTCCAGTTGTGGTGAGTACCGGCTCTGGTTCATTTTGCTGCAGTGTTGTGCTTTTCACAACTTCCTATACAATGGTCAGGACAGAAGAACAGGAGGAGGAGTCCTGCTGCAAGAGATCAAGAACTTACCCAGTCCCACTTTTGGCGTCCTACAGATGCCAACCACATGGATTTAAGGAAACTTGTGAGGAGAGGAGAAGAAAGGTAATGACAGATTTCCAGGCCTGCCCTCCAGCAGTTTATGGCGATTGTGGAGGTGGCAACCAAGCTGTCAGACTTGTAGCCATTGAAGGCCCAATCCCCCATGAGTTTGTCTAGTCCTGAACTAAAAATGGATGGCCATCACCACCTGTGATGGGAATGAATCCCATAGTTACAGTCCAAAGTAGGGCTCAACCATCATTGAGGGGCTGCTAGTAGACACATTTGCAGTGTAGAAAGGATGTTACCGGCATGCTCATCATGATTGCCCATCACAACGTTGATTGATTATATCAAGTTGATGTTGACGCTTTGCGACCATGTAGATAAATTTTCTCTGGGACCACCTGTTCCAAATCTCATGCTTCAAATTTTTCAGTGATGCACCTGTCACTGCTATAACTGGATACCTGTTACTCTGGCTGGAATGGAAGTCACCCACCTTTGATTTTCTAAAAATATTTATGGGATCTGTGTCATCCCAAACAAAGTCATACCTGAGGATGATGTTTTGCTTTGAGCATGGAAGACTCCCATGCACATTTTCCTTCATTCAGAGTCTACAACAATATTGGCTAAAGCAGCCATTCACACAGAAACGGTTACCCTTGGATGGCGTGTTGAAAACCTGTGGATCATAAGACTGTCACAAGAGCTTAGCTGCAGTGCTGGCTTGTACCCGAAATAGTCAACATGTCACATATTGTCATTTTTTCAGTTTTCTCTGCCAGTGCTGCATTTGTCTTGTTTTGACAGGCATGGGTTCAAAGGTGTGTCCTCTTTGCATGCTGAGTCACAAGCTGAATCATAATAAGCCTAGGGACGTTGGGAAAAGAAAGCACCAATAAAGCAGCATTCATGACTCAGCTCTCCCTTTAGGTTTACTGTTTAAATATTGCTTTTTATGAAGTGGGGTTTTGAGAAAGTGATCGAAGGAAAAGTTTAAAATCTCAGCTGGTAAGGTATGGCCTGGGAAAATTAGATCTGTCTTGAAGAATTGCTTATATAGTGACCAAATCTTATGATTGTCCAGAAGCAGGTGTGAGTTTTAAGTGCTGTCGAAAAACCAGCAAAATACTGGCTGAGGTGTGTGCCATTGCAGGCATAATTTTGAGTCAAAGTTAGTGTTTCTCTATTCCACAATGTAGACTTCAACTCCCAGAATTTTCAGTCAAGAAGACCGTGCTGGCTGGAGAATTCTGACTGTTACTTCATCCATCTGCATGTCTTCCAGTTTGGAAACATTGACTTAAAACGAAACATCCTTAGTGGAAAGGATCGTACAGAGAATTTCCCCTTTCTAAAATAACCAACAGGATGCAAGAATTTTAAACGTGGCAGCAGGAAACCAGTAGGAAGGGTGAACAAGTTGTTGTAAGAGACAAATTGCAGGATTTTAGTGATGGTTTTGCAAATAATTTAATTTCTCTAGACACTGTAAATCAGGGGTCTTCAAACGTGGCCCTTTTAGGACTTGTGGACTTCAACTCCCAGAATTCCTCAGCCAGGCACGTGTGCCTGGCTGAGGAATTCTGGGAGTTGAAGTCCACAAGTCCTAAAAGGGCCACGTTTGAAGACCCCTGCTGTAAATGCTAGCTCAGTTTGGTTGCTGTGTTTCTGTCTCCAGCACACCTACTCGCCAGTTTTACCTGTCCATCCAATCCCCAGTTGGGGAGCTGATGGCTCCAGTGTTCATGAGCGAAAACGAATTCAAGAAGGAACAAGGTAAGTGAGTTTGGGGGTAGGAGAAACAGGGTAAGGCCTAGATTCCAGGCAGTTCACATAAACAGGACCCCAGGCTAGCTTAGAGAACTACCTCTGCTAAAGGAGGTCCATGTTTAATTCTTCATGGCTTGCTCCAGCTTCGTATCAACTCTTCCTGTGGGCAGCCCATTCGGGACCAAGTGCCAGAACCCAACCTCTTGAAATGGGAGTGACTTATTTCTCACCACTCTGAAGTTGCTCCGACTTCCTTGGGGAGAAAAATCTCATGGGCAATTGACCTCCGAAGAAACAGGTAGACGAGGTAGAGGTGTCTGCAGGGTGTGGTCAAAAAGATCAAGTTGGTGGCCACCATCGAAGTGGTGCCTGGTTTTTATGTGCCATTCTGCAAACACACCGATAGATAGATCTCCTTTCTTTGTTGAGTCCTATCCATCTGTCCTCCAGCTCTCACCACCACCACCACCTCTTTCTCCTAAGCTGCTTCTGAATTTACTCTGGGCATCACCCTTCCCTGAATAGCAGAGACGTGGGAGAGAAGCTTCCTTCCCCAGAAGGAGAGTGTCCTTCAAGACTCCTCATCTTCTCCTCCTGCCCTGCTTGGCTGTAGGGACAGCATCCCTGGACTCTGCTGGTGCTAATTGTTGTGCTCTGTTCTCTTCTGCTGCCTTGTGCCTTCTGTTCCCATTTTTGTTTTCATAGAGCATCTGTTAAGGACGGGCGTGGGTAAGTGCCAGCCACAGATGCTACATCTCTCTGCTCCTTCGGCCACAGTGCCAGCTGTGCTTCCCCTGATCTTCACTCTTTCTCTCTCTTCCTTGCTGGCCAAAAGCCCTGCTGTTCTCCTGCCTCCCTTCCTCTCTGGCCCTAAGCATAGGCACCGCTTTCCAAACAGGCTGACCCCACCCTTTCGCTCTTCCTGGAACTAGGATAGCTTCTCCTTTGGACACCCTTTCCTGCCTCAGGCAGAACTGAAGAAGCTTCTTGGATGAGAAGCGAAACGTCCAGGAAAAACAAGGTCCAGTTCCCTTTTGGAAAAAGCACCTTTGGGATAACCAGGACCTGGATGCTGTCCTTAGCAAACCAATGGTTCACCCTGGGTGCAGTTTTGCTAAAAACTTGAAGAAACGGTTGGGATTGGCAAACCGGTCGTAAAACGTGACTATGGGATGCTGCAAGCAGCCGTAAATGTGGCTCTGTTGGCCAGCACCCAAAGTTTGATCGTGTGACTGCACACCCAGGACACCGTGCCATAATATGCTTGCTTGTTTTGGGATGTTAACGTGTTGTCTGAATCCAGCCAGTTCTGGTGTATCAAGGTAACATGGCCCAGCGCAGGGGCGTTCAACCTTGGCAACTGTAAGACCCTGTGGACTTCAATTCCCAGAATTCTCCATGCTGGGAGTTGGAAGTCTACCCGTCTTAAAGTGGCCAGGGTTGAACACCCTGGCCTAGTGGACTGTGTGAATCCAGTCTAAGGCTTCCAGCATTGTTGTCCCTTCTCTCTGCCTGCCTCTGCATGTCTTTTATACCCTGCTTCTCGCCACAAGCAGACTTCCTTGTGAGAGGGATGGGGGTTGGCTTTTGAGCCCCTTGCTGTGCCTCCATCCCAGTCACTCTTCCTGCCTCCTGTGTCTTGGACAGACCCCATGGCATTTCCTGGGCTGCTGTTGAGCACCAGACTTTCTGCATGCCCCCATGAAGCACCTCTTGGCATGAGAACGTCACACCCAACTCCCAGATCAGCCCTCCAGTTCCTGCAAAGCAGGCTCCAGTAATTAACCTATTAACCTGTTTTCTGAAGCTGCTCGTTCTTGTGACCAATAAAAATACTAATTCTGGAAGTGGTGCTTGATATTAAAAAAGGTTCCTGACATTTGAGGGTCTCCACTTGAGTTAGCACTGAAAATGCACAACTCTCCAGTGAGAGCAATACATTCCACAAGAGTTTGCACGTTCAGACATGCGTTTGGCTTGCACTGGGTTCCACCTAATTTTGGAGAGCCTCAGTCGGTATCTTTCATTTAGCTAAACCACAGGGAAGCACCAATTTTGGATTCTGTACATAACATGGCAAGGAGTAAGCTAGAATTGTTTGCTTGCTTGACTTACATCTCGTCTTTCCTTCTGAAACTTAAGAGAGGTTGATTTTTTTCCAGTCACGACAATCTTGTGAGAAAGATTGGATTTAAGGACAGCGATTGACCTAAAATGACTTTTCCATAAGCTAAGGTTGGATTTCAACGTAGGCCTCCCAGTCCTAGTTTGACTTAGACACGATCTGGGGTGAGCAACAATGGCAACTTAACGACCTGTGGACTTCAACTCCCAGAATTCCCTAGCCAGCCATGCTGACTCAGGAATTCTGGGAGTTGAAGTCCAGGGTTCATAAAATTGGCATAGTTGCCCATCCCTGCACAAGATGGCATCCATTTTGAAATATTTTAGTCCCTGAAGGGAGATCATTTCACAGGGAAGCCCTCAACTTACAGCCATATATTTAGTGACGATTCAAGTTACAATAGCACTGGGGGGAAAAAAGCGACTTTGCTTGAATTGTTATTGCTTTGACATATTGCTTTTGTCTTTTCTAACCTCCAGGAAAGCTAACAGGGATGAGTGAAATCACAGAGAAGCTGACTCTACCTGACTCCTGTCAGAATGACCACGTGGTTGTGCAAAAGGTGACAGCGGCTGCTAACGTGAGCCGTGTGCCCTGCGGTTCGGATAAAGAGTACAGGTGAAGAAATGGCTGCTGTTTTTCCTAGTCCTCCTGGCTGCCTTTATTGGATCCTCCCCTTGAAAGGAGAGATCCCTTGGATCCCTTGCAGATCCTCTCTTTGGAAGGACATCTGGACATCTCACTATTTTGCTAAAGATTTTGAGCTAAAGAGAGCTGTTTGGTCTAGGGCAGGGGTAGGCAACCTTGGCTCTTTCATGACTTGTGGACTTCAACTCCCAGAATTCCTGAGCCAGCCACGCTGAGGGGAAAGGGAGAGGTTTCCAAGCTGAGCCATGCTGGCTCAGGAATTCTAGGAGTTGAAGTCCATGAGTCATAAAAGAGCCGAGGTTGCCTACTCCTGGTCTAGGAGGCTCACCGCTTAGAACAGGAGGACTTAGGCCAGGGGTAGGCAATCTTGGCTCTTTTATGACTCATGGACTTCAACTCCCAGAATTCCTGAGCCAGCCACACTGAGGGGAAAGGGGAGAGGCTTCCAAGCTGAGCCATGCCGGCTCAGGAATTCTGGGAGTTGAAGTCTACGAGTCATAAAAGAGCCAAGGTTGCCTACCCCTGCACTAGGTACTTCCCAATTTTTAGAATTCCCAGTTGGCATTGTAGTCACAACATAAAGGCAGTCCTTGACTTACAGCCAGCCAGTTACAATCATAAGTTGAGGACTACCTGTGTCTAAGAGATCAAGTTGCGAATCCTACTTAGTAAGAATCAGTTATGCACGTAATTGCTCCCCTATTAAGTTCCAGCTGCACTGGGAAAAAGAAAGGGCACAAAACAGCTACTTATAGCCAGCAGTCGTTCTAATGCCACACTTTGATAAAGAGGGTAGAGTCAGTTCAAGTAAATTGTCCAGTTTGAGCTCTTCAACGTCAATAATATTAGGCAAGCATTTTCTGATCTTTTAACGTGCCAGGAGCTGCATTCTAAAAAGTAAAAAAAAAAAGTGGATAGGATCCTAATTTGCATAAATTCAAATCGATTTAACAGAACTGAAAGATTCTTGTAAGTTAAAAATGACATTGTGTTAATATGGTTTTCCCATGGATTTAATAATTTTTCTTTGGAGTAATGACTCTTGCCCTGAAGGCATGTTTTCGTTCTTCTATTAAACCAAGAGTTTCCTGGCTAGGATATTGGTAACCTTAAGAGGTGAAATATCCTGGAGTGTTTTCTGCCTAAATGGTCCAGTTCCCTTGAAGATGTAGGGTGCGTCTATTTATTTCTTTGAGTCCATAGCTAAGGTTTTCTGGACTTAGAGCAGTGGTTCTCAACCTTTTTAATGCCGTGACCCCAACCGGTCATAAGTCGAGGACTAAACCGGTCGTAAGTTGAGGACTACCCAACCGGTCGTAAGTTGAGGACTTTCCCTGCCCGGGAGCGCCGCACATGCGTGGTTCCGCCCCCTGCGCCGGCCGAGGCGTAGCTGGCAAGTGGCAGAGACGGAGCAGGCCGACCACCACCTGGCCCAGCCCAAGAGAGGTAAGGCACCTGCTGGAAAAGGGGAAAAAAATGGCGGACAAAAAAAAATGGCGGACAGCCTTGCTTGGCGACCACCATGAAATGGTCGATCAACCCCAAATGGGGTCCCGACCCACAGGTTGAGAACCACTGACTTAGAGCATTCTCACCTTGAAAACTCCCAATTTCTTTATTCCAGCCACCTTCTGCTTTTTTAATCTTGCTGGTTTCTACCTTGGAACTTACGGACATTCATGTCCAACACATCCAGAAAGCTATTAGTTAAGAACGTTATTCCAATATTTGCAGCCACTCTTAAGTGTTTTGTTGCCGTTTTTCCTTGGCATTTTCTCCTGGCCAGGTTTGCTGCTAAAACAGTGAGTGGTGGGTGTCTCATTTTGATCACGCTGGAGAAGAGGCCAGACAACTCAGCCCAGCTAACCATCAACAGTGAGAAGATGTTGATTGGTACCATGTTGGTGAAAGACATCATCCACTCCTTGACCCAGGAGTGATCAAGGTGGAATTGGAGTCCATCTCTCATCTCCCAGAAACATCATCTTAGCCAATGCTTCTGTTGGCTGAAGCCTACACTACCATGTTTCTGTTGGTTGCGATTGTAGTCCACGTGGAAAGCAATGCTTGGAGAAGTGTGTGGGTCTGTGTGTGTGTGTGGGTCTGTGTGTGTTTAGAACACAGGGAAGATTCCTGTGACTCCACTGCCTTTGTTATGTAAATCCTTTCTCTGTCCTCTCCATTCTTCTGTTCTACAGCTCTATTTATTATGAGCAGAGACGGTTCAATAAAATGGCTCCTTAGATTTGGCTTCTCTTTACTGGTTCTTTTGGGTGGTAGTAAAAAAAAAAATTACTTAGAAGGACAAGATTTAAGCCAACTTCTTTTTACTCCATGATTCGTCCTCCTAACTCAGGGTTCTTCAAACTTGGCCCTTTGATGACTCGTGGACTTCAACTCCCAGAATTCCTCAGCCAGCTTTGCTTTGCTGAGGAATTCTGGGAGTTGAAGTCCACGAGTCATCAAAGGGCCAAGTTTGAAGACCCCTGCCCTAACTGCTGTGGACCGGAGATGTGCACAACTTATTTAACATGGGAAGACCACATTGGTACCCGACGGTTGAAAGACAGCAGAGGCAAAGATAATGCCAAGTGCTAAAACTACAGGAATTTAATTTGTGGAGTGTGTTGGGGATTTTTTTCTTTCTTTCTAGGAATTCTGAAGGAAAGGAAATGAGCAAGTTTGGGAAATGAAGTCAGCTTCATGCTGAGCAAATGTTCGGACCAGTTTCAGACCAGGTCATTAAAAGACGGTTGCACGTCTCTTTGTTTTAAACAAAGCATCTATTTAAAGTGAACGGGCTTGAATTAAATATTTTAAAACAGGTCTGCACTTTGTCTCAATTGGACTTGGGTTTCCCTACAACCGAAATCCAAAATGGTTTCTTTAATAAAGAATGCTTTCATACAACGGTAGAACTAAAAGCTACTCACACAGATTGGCTTTACAATACACCCTCTATTTTGCTTTTATTTTGAAGGCGACTGCTTCCCTCCCGCCAATTTAAGTATATCTGTGTGTGCCTGCCTACACACCTTCACAGCCCTATTGCTTGTAGTCTCCATATCAGCCCAGGTTTCTGATGCAGCTCCTTGGGAAAGGTGCCCGCCTCAAGCTGGTTGTGGATTGTTGCTTCCTTGAGCAGTCAAGTCCTTGACTCCTAAGTACCTGATAAGCTGGTTGTAAATCAGAGTCCTGTTGACTGACAAGGAACCCTTTTCTCAGGCTTTAATCATTATTCATTCCCGTAGAGAGATTCCCTGAGGATGGGATCCAAGTCCGAAACCTCTGGTCCCGGTGACCGACCCAAATTGGATCCTGCAACATAGAATAGAGCTGGAAGAGACCTTGGAGGTCTTCTAGTCCAGCCCCCTGCTCAAACAGGAGAACCTATACCAGGTGAACATCTAGTAGTCTCTTCTTAAAAACATCCAGTGATGGAGCGCCTATGATTTCTGGAGGCAAGCTGTTCCACTGGTTAATTGTCCTCACTGTTTCTCCTTAATTCCAGGTTGCTTCTCTCTTTGGTCAGTTTCCAACCATTGTTTCTCGTCCTTCAAATATATTGGATCCTGGGACACAGTTATTTGCCTTCCTTCTCGAGGCTTATTCGTTTTAACTACTGAGTTGTAACCATTTGAAACTCCAGATTCTCCAAGGCAGCTTAATTCCCAGGCTCAAAAGGCCTGCAGGTTGGGAAGGCGAAAATCCGCCGAAGCCAGGCAGCCTTTAAGAAATGCCAGCTTTTTGAGTTCACCTCAAGAAAAGTTAAAGAACGGGGGAAATTAATTGAAATTCTGCAGCTCCTGCTTCAGGTGTTGGGTTTATAGAGTTCCTCCATTTCCAAGATCAGATTTAACTCGCTGTAACTGGAGACACCCTTTGTTTACTCAAGTTTCCCATTTCCCACTTAATCTGTCATTATGTAATTGTTAGTTCAGCATCTGCCTAAGAATGGCTGAGGTTAACTGCCTTGCAGTTATCTAGCAAGTAAAGGGCAGAAAAAGGGGGGGGCTATGATAAAATACCCCTCCTAATCGCCCATAGCCTGTAATCCGTGCTTCGTGCATTGCACTAAACGACCGTTTTTATTTGGGAATCGAAACTACCTGCACACCGGCACCAGTTCATTCATAGCCATGGTTTATTCAGCAAACCAGGATTTAATTAAACCACGACTTAGGATAGAACGTGCTCCCCCCCTCCTTTCAGAAAACAACAACTCCTCTTGTAAAACAAGACACACACAAAAACCGTTATTAATATATGTATATATATTTAACAGCGCACCGGCTTCGCTTGCACCGGAGCAAACCCCTGCAGTTGGCTTCCCAAGTACACATTTTCACGGTATTTCTTTCTTTTTTTTTTTAATCCACGTCTGAAAACGCCTATATTTTGCTTTTTAACGTTTGCAGGGGCGCGCGGCCAAAAAAAAAAAAAAAAAACCCAGGCGAAAAAGAAACGCCGACGGGGTCCCCACTCTCCCGTTTTGCAAGCGCGCAACTTTTAATTCCCCTGCTCGCTGCAAACGGCGGAGGGTCCCACCCCACCCACCGCCCGGGGTGCACGTGCTGCAAAGCCCCCCCTCTCCCTTTCCTCGGGCCGGGGGGGTGTCCGTGGAGGGGGGGGGAGAAAGAGAAGGAAAGGAAGGCGCCCGGGGAGCGTTTGCAGAGCATCCTCCGCGTCTGACGCCCGGGCGTGGTGCCTTTGCGCCTCGCGCCGCGCCCGCCCCCCAGGGAGGGAAGCGGCGGGGGGGGGGGCGCGGCTATAAGTCTCCCGCGTCCAGCGCTTGTGCGGGATTTCCGAAGCATCGACTCGACATGGCTTTCCCGCCCCCGGTGAGTCGAGGCGACGGGAGCCTCCGCGCACGTGGGAAGGCGCGCCGGGCTGCGCCTCTGCCCGGGTGTAGGGCTCCCTTCGAAGGCTGGTTTGCTGGCTGGCCTGCAACACGTGTCTGCCTCCCTTCTTGCCTCTCGCACCCCACGAGCGGGGCTTCTCACGTAGCAGAAACGCGTGTCTTTTTTATTATTATTATTATTATTATTATTATTATTATTATTATTATTATTATTATTCCTTTCTGGCTGTTTGCACGGGAGCGCTTCCTTTGGGAGAGTCGGTGGGGGAGGAGAAGTGGGGGGGGGGAAGAGATTCCTGCAAAGGCCCTCTAGGGTTGGCCCTAACGGGCGCCCCAGGTTGTTTCCCTTCCCGACACGTGTCGGGAACGCGTTCTGGGTCTCCTTTCGGCTGCCCGCTTCCCTGTACTGAATTTCAGCCCTGGTGCAGGGTCTCCTGCTTGAGCGAGGGTTGGACTAGAAGACCTCCCAAGGTCCCTTCCCACCCGGCTATCTGTTGCTCTGTTGCGCAGCTGCCTAATTGACTAAACCGACCCCGGTTTGCTTGTAACGAAATGGCTCGTGTTAGCTTTAAACCAGGTTGGTTTTTTTTCCCCCCCCTTTCAGGATTCCGGGCTTGCGTATGCCAAACCGTGCATATTATTAATGCATTAATGGGGGAGCCACACGCCTGAATAAATAAATGTGCATGGTTCTGGGTCCCCCCCCCAATATATCTGGGTTTCCACCTGGCTGGTGCTTCCCTCCCGTTTTCCTTAACCCGTTGCCCCATAATTTGTTTTCTGCCATTTTCTATTTCTAAAGGACCTTTTTTTTTTTTTTTTTGCTTTAGCCTCAGCGAGAGGGGGGGTATTCTAGAACTTCCCTTGCAAGTCCACCATTTGCGGTGAGGAGAGTCTTCCTCCAGTTATTTTGGGGTGCAGAGGCCTTCAAAAGCTGCCCTTGTGGGGCTCCCAAGCCTCTTTTGACCCCCACGGAAATTCTGGGTGTTACCCTGGGCCAGAAGGAAGTAATAGCTCCGTTTTTAACATAGTCTGGGATTTTTAAAAGGTTGGCCACACTTTTTTAAGACTTGTGGACCTCAACTCCCAGAATTCCACAACCGGTATGTGGGCTTCGTGGGAAGCATGGCTGGCTGGGGAATTCTGGGAATTGAAGTCCACGAGGCTTAAAAGTTGACAAGGTTGGACACTCCTGCTTTGCGGCTTATTTTTCCAAAATGGTATGAATTTATTCCTCACCACTTGCTAACCAGCACCATTAATATTGAGTTGGAAGCTTTCTCTCTCTCTGCAGCCAGGAGAAGCAACATGTCAGCTCCTAACTAAACTACCATTGGTTCCAACTTAACTACCATTGGTTCCAGACCCTGAAGTCAAGGCGTGTGCCTGATTTTTCCCACCGGTGTAAAAGGCGTGTCCCAAATTTTATCCTTGCAACTTAATTTCCTCTCTGTTAATTTGGGCCTTTTGTAATTATTATTATTTTTTTCAAATAATGGAGTGTGTGAAAGATTTAAGAGTTTTTCGTTTCAAATGGCCTGTTTACATTTTACCCTCCCTTGCATGGGAAGCCTGAAGGCTCTATAATGTGAGGTTGAGATAGCCTTAAAAAAAAGGGGAGCTGTCCCAGGAACAATCCTTATTCCCAAAATACACTCCAAGGCCATTATAAGATTTTGGAGACAAGGAGGCGGTGGGAGTTGCTAGATTTTTCACAATTCTTGTCGACGACGACAATTCTTGTCGTCGTTTTGGACCAAACAGTTAAAAACACGGAGCACTATCCAACGTTGATTTGGTATACCCCTTTACGTATAGACGTCATTATAATGTAAACAAAAGTACTTCGGTTTTTTCGGACGAAGTCTAATTAAGGTCTGGAAACGTTAGATAAAATGAAAGAGACGAACTCGAAGTTTTAATAGCAGCCTGAGAAATTCCATGAGCCCCCCCTCCTGCAGCTTAAAAAAAAACCTAAGAGATAACAATTTTTAAAATAAATTATATCTAGGGGATTTTCAAGGAAAGACCAACAGCATATGCACCTTTGAGTTCTTTACTAGGGAGTAGGAACTATAAATTTATTACTGAGTCAGATTTCATATGGTACAACTGTTTTCATCTGATATAGAGACTTTAATCCCAGAAAAAAAGAATAAATGAAAATATGTATACAAATAATCGTCATTCACTGACTGCTTCTTTTAGTAACCATTTGCAATTACAACGAGGATGAAAAAAATAGTTTTACGGTCAATCCTGGCATTTATCATCTTTGCAGATATGCAAAGCCAAAAGGAAGCTGAAATTGGGTTGTAACCAAGCTGTGGTTTCACTTAGTCACTGCTTCACTTAACAACCAACTGGCCAGTCCCTGTTGTAAC